GTCTATGCTTTGTCACGTTGCACAAAACAAATCAGTTGATGGAGCATAATGGCTTCCTCATTAGCAGACACTTCACAGTGTAATCCAAATAACACAGCTAGCGTGGCAGTGCTAACACTAACACCGACCGTTATAAAAGATAACAACCACCGTCGAACAGAAACAAATAAACACTATCTCCATTTCTACCCATCACCGGTAACGAGAAAATACGACCCCATGTGTTTACATGTGTGTTATTATTCCAAGGTTTAACGCCAGATAACAGTAACCCGCTACATGCTAGTTAGCGTTAGCTTCGAGACTGTGTGGTGGCGGAGACAGAATACCAGTCTGCCTCGGCCGGCTCCTCTAATCCGTGCACTGCGAGTGAAATCACTAACGCTGTGCTACTCCAGCAAAGGTAATGGGTTGATAACCATTAAAGCTGTTCACCAGCATCGACCCGTCACTGCGAAACCATTTTCCATCGCCTTTTGTGGTCCCCGCGGGCCCTCCTACCCCGGCCGCACATGGCAGTTCTGGGATCCAGCTCACCTTCCCGGCCACACGGCCGAGCCGCACGATCCCTAGCTTGAAGTCCGACATCAGGAGGACGGGCGGCGCAGACACGTATCCAACCGAACCGGTGTTCAGGTGTAAAGCTCGCCGGGGCAGCCCCTCAGCCCCGCTGTGATGCCAGTGTGGATGAACTGGGTGTCTGTTCGCCCTGACTCCGGGTCTCTCCGGCAGCAGCCTAGCCTCGGTGACACACCACCGCTGCTGCTGCTGTTAGCTCAGGAAAGCCGAGCTGCTGGGGGCGGGAAGGAAAGAGCCAACAGTGAGGCCGTCCAATCAGCCGGGACGTTACGTTTTCTCTCATACGTAACGTCCGATCATGTCGTCCAACAGAAAACGACTATTTTTAACGACTGTCTGTTTCAGGTATTACGTCATTACACTCTCGTGACAACTTCCACCTTTTTTCGCGCGAAATGTTTGACGGGTGGATAGTGGCCAGTGTCAAACATGGTTCAACAATAATATTCAATGTGTCAAACAGTTGCTTGACCCACATTGTCTTCTTATGAATTATTCTATTTCATGTCTATTTATAATATCTTAGTCACCTCAAAAAACGTTGCTACTTTAAAAGATGCCAATCCCAAAGCTGTGTTGATGTTATTTTGGGGAGGCACTGAACATAGAATGACACTAATAGGAAAATCTATTTGCTAAACCTATAACTGAAGGATCAGATCCCTCTTTAAGAAATACAGTGTCAACAAGTTTGGACCTATCTTCAAGATAACCTTTTTGATCAGAAACAATTTATTTTTCAAATGCTTCATTGATGCTATCCAGCAAATACTTATTTGCAAAGAAAAATAAATGGCACTAATGTGAATTGCTCCTTTTGTGTTTGAAAATGAAACAACCATGCTTGTATACTTTTACATCTCAAACCGCAAGTTATGTTGAATATGACTCTCATGATTTTTTTGATTTTTTTTTAACTTTCACTGAATTCACAAATCAAATCAAATCAAATCAAACAAGGTTTATTTATAAAGCACATTTAAAAGCGATTTTTGGTCGGGCCAAAGTGCTGTACATGTAATAACTACAATCACATAAAAACACATTTCTATAATCACAATAAAAGACAATAAATTACAACAGATATTTAAAAAGAAAACACAGGGTTAAAGTCAGGAGTCGTGCTCCGCTCTGACTAAAAGGCCAGGGAGAAGAAGTGTGTCTTAAGAGTAGATTTAAAAACCCCTAGGGTCTGGGGTCAAAGGTTATTTATATATTTGCACAATGTAATTGTAATGAAGGCTAACATCCATTGGCTGAACAGGGGTAGCCTAATAATAATGGCATGTCTTGATGTCTATCTTTGAGTTTGGTATTCAGTTCCTTTAATAGATCCATGCCTTTTACTCATCTGCTGAGCCGTATTTGACGTAAAAAATGTTGCTGCTAAATCAGCTTGATGATGTGAATTGAGTATTGTAGCCTATATGCTGTACATCAGTGTCACATCCATCCACTGAAAATATAAAGCAAAAATAAAGAAATCATTATAGAATGACTGCCCCTTTTTGAACATATATATATTTGAACTATACCTGCAATTTATACTTCCACAAATTCAAAGGAATGTACAACTTATTATTTTCATCCCAACACTCATTGATGCTCAAAGTGCAGGCCCTATCCTTGTTTTGATCCCTCAAAATGATCTTAAGGACCTGACACAGCAGCGTTTTCTTGCAGTTAGCAAAGCAGGTGAGCACCCTCTAGGGATCAGGATCTGTATCACAGAAAACTTAGAAGATTTAGGAATAATTAGGAAAACAGGAGTTTTACTTTAAAAACGTTTTCATTCATTGTTGATGATCAGCAGGGTTTCCCATCAAATCTTATTTCAATTATATAAGGCATATTTATACTAATTTACTTTAGTTAATTTGTGTATTAGTGTATTGAAAAGTTAAAGGTGGGGTAGGTAAGTTTGAGAAACCGGCTCGAGATCGCTAGAATTTGAAAATACACAACCGGAGAAAATCTGCCACTTCCTTACAGAGCCCCTCCTCCAACACACACGAACGCGCACATGACCAATGAGAGCACGAGATAAGTTTGTGCACAGATGGAAGGCTGACAGGCAGGTAGGCCATCCAGTTATTTTAGCCGGGCCGGCTAAAATGATTGGTCGTACTTTTTACAGTATTACGGCTTCCACAGATGACATTTTTTAATGGATTTTTTGTCAAAGCACTTAAGATATTCATTGCTATCGGGATGTTAAGAGCATTCCATGGAATATAACAAAAAGTGTATCTCGAGCCGGTTTCTCAAACTTACCTACCCCACCTTTAAACATATGTAATGTTGTTCTTAAGAGGAATAGCATTGGTGAGTTAAAGCGGTTGCCTTGTGCCAACTCAACGTGTTTGCAACATTACATTTTTGTGTTGTTGTTTTTACCTTTTTACGTATACAGTAGTCCATGCGCTCTGTCTGAAGTTGATGATGTAAAGCCTGCATGGCTAGTTCTTCCCATTACAAAACAGCTTTTAATGTTGGAAACAATAGCAGTCCTGTGCCTTTGCTTTTCCCATTTTAGCTGAAATGAGGAAGCACCTTGTCTCAGCCCGAAGGCACCACTTTTTTTCTCTCAATCACCCCTATCGAGTTACTCACAGACGTGGAGCTGGGAGGTGTGGCATTTCCTTTTGTGGGTTTGAATTTCTTGAGATTTGATCTGTTTCCTCCCAAATACATGTGTAGCTTTAACAACAAGTCTTTCTTTTAAGCTTAGTTTTTAAAAGTGATGGGATGGAAAAGGATAGAAACTCATGTGAAGCCTTTTACTCCCCCTTTAAAAAAAACAAACAATTGTCATAATTGTTCTCTTCAAGGAGTTAAAAGTAAGTTAAGGGGAATATTTTATCAATTGCCTCTAGGATTTTATGACAATATTTCATTGGCAAATTGAATGAACATATATGGAAATTAAATTCCAATAAAAAGTCAAAATAAAAGTCAGCACAATGACTCAAGAACGGCTCATACATTGATCATTTTTGTTTCACACAATAAACTGTGAAACACAGTTTATGCTTTGTTTAGTTGAAAGTTTGTTTAAAAAGATACATGCAACACCAATGTAGATGAAAGTCAGGACTTCTTGTGTAATCCTTATATGATAATAGCTTATCATGGTATATGGCATAATCACATTGTTCAGTAATACATTTACGATTATAAACTGGATATGTTAGTAAATGTTGTGGAGTCGGACACACCCTACTGTTGGTTTATAAATGGAAACTGCTTCTACTAATACTTCTTGAGATGCTGGTTGCAACCAAAACCAACTCACTGCAGAGTCACTATAAATGAATGAGCCTGGCCATCGATGAAACAGACCATCCTTCTAAAGAACATTTGTTGTTATTGTCTCTGAATTCATAAGCTTTTCCAGACAGGGTGTTACTCACTTTATTGCTGAACAGAGCTGTCCCGAGGTGTGGCTGCACCTGATCTCTGGGCACACACATATGATGAAACTGTTTATCCATCACACCTCTCCGCCCTGGAAAATGTGTTTATCCTCTCCCACAGTTGTTTTCTTCTCAATATGTACATAGTTAAGTAAGCAACTTCCAAATGAAATTACTAAACTGAAACAATCCTTGGCTGGATGACATCTTTCTCAACTGTTAGTTTAATTGTACAGCACTTTGGCTCGACCAAAAATCGTTTATATATGTGCTATATAAATAAAACTTGATTTGATTTGATTTGATTTAGTTTAATTGTTTTAATAATTATCAGGTTATCATTATTCAGAATGCTGATGTCGTGAACAATGTTTAACAAACAAAAGAAATAAATAAATTCAATTTTGTTGTCATGTGAATAGTTTGTGAAGAGTTTTGTCTAATGTAAAGTTACAAAAAAAAGTCATTTAATTGTTTTAAAGATCAATTGGGTTATAAAATAGTTTGCATATACAAATGGGGATATATAATATAAAAGATAAGGGAAAAAACATTCCTAATATAACAGTGAGAGGCATTTTAACAAAGTCACCCCTCTTAACTGTTTATGAACGTTTTTTTTAATATCAGATAGTTCAGACAATGTTTTCTGATATTCAAAAATGTAAAACAATGGCAAATCATCCAAACCATAGTCCAATGTTTTCAATGCAAAAATAGGCAAAGTTCTTAAGTGACCAAAAAAATATATTTTTTAAAGGTGGAGAAACTGGACATTAAAGAAGGTTTTAAAGAATGAAAGGTATACATATGCACATTGTGATGTTAGCTTTTTATAAGGCAACTACTAGAATATAAACACCAGCTTGTGATTTATTAGGCAACAACACAATTCTAAGACGGTTATCAGCTGACGCCCAAATCAAACAACTGAGAACCAGAAGAGCAGAACGTTTTTTTTTCCTCTCAGCTCTGACCTCTTGTGTCCATGTTACTTCCGTGTTCTGCTCACCTGTTCCACCTGTATTACTGCGCCGCAGCTGACTGTAGGTGCGTCTCGATGCACCTGCTGCGTTATTCTGCCATGACCGAGGAGCTCACGACCTGCGATTTAACATGCCCGTCTTCACCGGAGAAGACTTTGGATGTTGTGAAAAGTAAACCGATGGATTTGGAGCAGCCTATTTTCTCGGTGCTGAGCGGCGGGGTGAAGCAGCAGCAGCCGGCGGAGGGGGACACCGCGGGGACACCGGCTGCGACCACCCCCGACACCGAGTCCGGGATCTTCTCCGGGGAATGTGAGCTGTGTGTGGAGCATGAGTCCGAGCTGGACTGGTTCTGTGGCACCGAGCAGAGACTCATCTGCTCCCACTGCGCTATCGTGGGTCCCTGCCACGGACACTCTGTGACCCCTGTGGCCACCAGAGTAACCGCAGTCAGGGTGAGTGAACTGCTAATATTGTATATTATGTCTGTTTTTAAATGTATTGCCTGAGTTTTGGCATAGTTTTATTGATATTAGCTTTAGAAATGTAAAAGGTAGATATGTTTTCTTTATGAGGATACCTTCAGGGATAGATAGTAGCCCAGGAATGTTACTTTCACTTTGTTTGAATGTTTGTTTAAACCTTTTTATTTGCCCTGTTATTTGCTGTTAGACAGGTTTAACAGATTTTCCTCATCTGCATTAGAACATATCATTCTAGATCCTTTTAAGTTTATTTTATGAAAGAAAATGTGGATTTTTCCTACTTCATTCACTCACTCTGTTGAGGATTGTACCTGTTATTAAGTAATAAGGACTCACTTAAAAGTGTGGAGAATAATGCTCACATATTTGACAGTGTAAAATGTGTAGTTAGTAATCCTTTCTTGGGTGCGCCACAGTTTGCATGTAGTTTTTCTAGCTGATTCTTATGCATGGTATTTGAAAAGACAGGATTTTCTTGTTGCGTCTCCTCCAGCTGATGAGTATGTGTGTGTGACTTTGTGTGTGTTTCAACAGAACCATCTGGTAGATGTGTGTGAGAAATTGCAGCTGCAGGCTCTGAGGATTGAGAGGTTTATCGAGCAGACGCTGACAGCCAAAGAGCAAAAACTTCAGGTGAGAAACACATGTGATCCCCACCCACTAAACCACACACTAATGATCACACACAGAGGGGCCAACCTCAATACAAACACATTATCAAGTGAAGCCAACAATATTTCACAAGCAGCCTATGTCGGCTGGCTCTGCTTTATGAAAAGTCCCATGTGACAATCTTCATGTGCTTTGCAGACACGGGTTGAATGTTATGTATGTGGAACCTACTGACCCTTATCATAAGGCATTAGGATTCTTTTCATTGTCAATTCATGTGTCAACTATTTCTTCTGAATAATTGTTCAATCTAAAGTATGTCAAAATTAATTTAAAAAATAGCATCATCCCCACCCAAATTGCTTGTTTAGTCCGAATAACTGTTACAAACCACAAATATTCAGATTTCAATGATGTAATAACGGATATAAAGCTTGAATTAGTGAATGATTGACATTTTAGCTGACCGTACATGTGAAACCGTTATTGTCACATTAGTAGGGAGGAAACATTCACAAAATGTCATGTTTCATGTTTCAAGTAAGAATACAATTGTAGTTATTTTGAATATTATGGATTTTAATTGTGTATTTTTCCCACTTTTCCTTTAACTATTATAACAGTAAGCTATTCAGATAATTTTAACCCAAAAACACAATATGTTTACTAGGCATGTATAACTTGCTGATTCAGCCATTCGACAAAGCAAAGGTTGCCTCTTTCAGTGCACCCTTATTTATTAACCTCCCTGAGCACAATGGGTGTCTCAAGTTTTCAGAGGGTTACAAGTTACAAGTTAACACTAGGAAATCAAACCTCAAGCAAACAGTAAAGGCAGGTAAGACAAATATGTAGATACCTTATCTGAGCAAGAATCAAGTCCCCAAACAAATGTTTTCTGTAACAACATTGCACACATTTAAACTGTGAAAACAAAGCATTGGATTGAGAATCTGGTCAGTGAATCTTTGTAGCTGTTTTTGTTTGTTTAAGGCCATTGTGTGAAGTGTCAATAACTACCTGCTTTTATGGCGCCCACTGTCGATTGGCTGCATGTGTGCAAAGAAACATGGGCGGGACACTATTTTATCCTCATGTTTGATTAATTGGATATTGTTCTGTATGACAACCACTGTCTGTCACTAAAGATCCCACTGAAAGAAGAAAACAGTCCTTAATGATCTCTGCCCCTAAGACCACTTGCAGACAGAATTGCAGCTCGATAGGCTGATCCCCAAAAAGAGAATTTTATAGTTCAGTTAAGGGCTTGGAGGCTAATTCAATTGGAAATTGTGTTTCTTTTGCCAGATGTGTTTAACCTTTCCCTCTTTCTAGGGTTATGACTTAATGTTATTGCCTACTTTGTGTGTTGTTGTATCACGGTTTTGAACGTATCTTGATTTAGACAACTATTGCTTCTGTCTTGCAAGACATCCTTGGAAAAAAAGGAAATCCCAATACCAGAATGAACCTGCTTAAATCAAGTTTTTTTGTCTTCTTTTATTTTCAAAAGTCATAAAATGCTTCAATACAAATACCTACATTTAAGGCAAGACATACCAAAATAAATAATAAAATAAAATAAACATAGACACATGAACAAAAAGAAAGAAAAAAGCAACAGTAGCAGTAGTAGCAAAAACTGCTATTGGTAACCATTCTCCCTCACAAAATCATCAAGACTACATCTCAATTCATCTGAGTCTCTCCAAAATAAGTTGTTCTTGATTTTCAACTATGGAAAGACCCAGACTGAAGTCGCGAAAAAAATTAGCTTTACTTCTTTATTAACAGCTGGGGGGATTGATTGACTTGTATTGCCTGTTCTGGGAACAGGACGGAGCTGCCATCCATGGAGGACCTTTACTCCCAGCAGCTCAGGAAGAAATCCCTCCGGATTATAAAAGACCCCCATCACCCCAGCCACAAACTGTTCTGCCTGCTGCCGTCTGGCAGGCGTTACCGCAGCATCCGGACTAAAACCACCAGATTCAGAGACAGTTTCCTACCACAGGCAATAAGACTGTTAAACACCTGAACTGCTGAAGCAAAATCTGTTAAACACCTGAACTGTTGAAACAACATCCATAATATTCATCTGGCTGCTACTTAGAAATGATTTATCTATCTATCTAATATATCATATTCCAATAACTTGCATATAGACTCTTATTGCACTATTTCACTATTTCACTTTTTTAAACAATTTTTCTTTTCCTTTTTGTATTTACTATTTACTTGCACTATATTTTTCTGTTCATCTGTGTTTTGTGTTGCACTGTTGGAGAAGCCTGTGAACTAAGATTTTCATCGGCATAACTACACTGTAGCTATGTTCGTATGACTAAATAAAGAACCTTGAACCTTTATGTAATGGTCGTTTTCACAAAATGTTGCTTAAAATATGTTTTAGTGCATGATTTGAAGATTTTTATAAAATTGGAATCATTACACATGTGCTCGAGAATCTTAAAAGTTAAAATAAACCTGTGTTATATATGAAGAGATTTAGTAATGCAATCAGATAAAAAACATGTAATTTGTTCTCCACCAGAAGTCTAACATTTATTTTCCTTCTCTCTGTTGGCGTAGGTAGGGGCGAGCAGGACCAGGGAGCATATCCTGGCTCAGGTCAGCGCAGCGCGTGAAGCCCTGGAGGAAGAGGAGCAGCGTCTCCTGGAGGAGGTGCAAAAGGAGGAGGAGCGGGTGGAGCAGTGCCTCCTCACCCAGAGAGCCCACTGGAGCAAAGCTTTGGCAAATCTGACGCAAACACGCTCCGGCCTGGTGCACACACTGACGCACACTTCAGATGCACAACTGGTGGTGAGAGACAACAACATTTTTGTTCAGGGACGACTGGGGGATATTTTTGAACAAAAGAAGAACTTGTGCTAAAATAAGTGTAACCTGATAATGGTCATTCATTATCTATAATGCTTCCTGTGTTTTCAGACCAGTGTCCAGGAGATAGCTGAAAGGTAATTTGTTCTACTTAACATTTCTAGTGAATATTTCTTTCTTTCTACATACCAGAGAGGTCACATTTGTTCTTCTCTTGCTGTTTATCAGGGTGGAGGCGGCGGATGGGGTTGGGGAGCCCTGTGACACGGAGCAGCTCAACATGAACTCAGCCTGTAGCGACAGCAAGCTGCTGAGGGGCCTCTGGGCCACTGCAGTGCTGCTGGGGCCAAACGGTTAGTGCAGTGTTATTCGATCCTCATGGAAACCTGATAGATATATCAGGATCATTGCCCACAACTATAATTGTAGTTAGCATAACTGCAAATAGGTCTGTCACAACATTATAGTTTCTATTCCCATTTATTGTGGACAAAATGACCCAATAACAATTTTATCAACAAAGAAAAAAGAGAATTAATCTTTACCTTTTTTAATTGTGCATTTTTCATCACACTTAAAATACAACTGTATTGACGTGGACAGAAAGTCCATAATTACAACTGTACAAAAGTGTACCAAAATAAATGAAATCTTAAGGACCCTGAGTTATTTACACAATATTACAGACCTTAATAGTCATAGTAGAAAAAGCCCAGGTTTAATAATTGTGTTATTAGCTACACATGTGCTATTCCCACAATGATAAAACATTTCTACTTTTTTTTGGGTATATTTTGCCCACAGAACTTGTCTGAACTTATCTAAAAATATATTGTTCATAATCAGTAATATACATGATCCTGATGTATATCTCTCCCTAGCTGGAAACAGCAGTGATTGTTTGGGGCCTGGAAGGTTTTGTGTAACTGAGCAAGTCTTGAAATAAAATGAAGAAATAGTAAAGGTAAATAAATAAAGAAGCAAATTAAAACATACATTCAATTTACTGTATCTCACAATTTTATTTTAGATAATTCTTTACATGATTTTGGTACATTGAACAACATTATGTTTATTTATCAAGCAATTTTTTCATCTATAGGTTTCTGACCATTAATCCATATTTGTCCTCTTCCCACAGCTTATGGATCATTTTATTTGAAGTTTGATGAGCGCACAGTGAGCCCTCTCCTGTCCCTGTCTGACGACTTCTACACTTTGACCTTCTCCAACAAAAAACATCGCCAACCGCTGCCCTACGACCCGGCACGCTTCGACTGCTGGCCCAACGCTCTGGGCTCTCTGTCCATGTCCTCTGGCACCCACAGCTGGGTGGTGGATGTGGGGGAAAGTGGTGCCTTCAAGGTGGGGGTCTGCTACACCTCTCTGGAGCGCAAAGGCTCAGGGAACGAGGCTCGGCTGGGGTACAACAGCCAGTCCTGGGTGCTATCTCACTACGACGGGGACTATTCCTTCTGCCACGCGGGGAGGAAGGAGCCTCTGCAGGTGGCGAGGAGACCCCAGAGGATCGGCCTGCTGCTGGACTGGCCCAGTGGGACGCTGTTGTTCTACGAGCCAGACTCCAGCACTGTGCTGCACTCCTTCACACATTACTTCAACGCCCCCCTGCTGCCAGCGTTTGCAGTTACTGACCGCAGCATCACCATTCTGCACTGACACGCAGCCAAAAGACTCAATGACCTCAAACATGTGAAGATATTCTCCAATGTAAATATGATCAACAGCAAATTATCCTCCATCTGACTGTGCAGTTATGAAAAGGCGTGAATTTGTATTTATTTTATTATTAGCTGCTGAATCTTTATTTTTACTGTTTTTAACAATTTAATAGATTTTAATTTAGAAATAATCATATTATTTAACTTTATATGTAAAACATTATAAATTAGTGCTGTAACAGTATTTTATATGACTGATGATGATTGGTTTTTTATTTGAATGTTTTCTTGCATCAGTTTGATCTGTGTATTATAGACTCTTTACAGAAAAAAAAAAAATTCCACTGGTTGATTCAGGAATGTTTGTAATGTTGACAAAGTAACTCTCAACAGAAATATTTTATAATGATGTTACTGCATTATGCTCAGTAAACCAGTTACCAGCTGAAAATCCCACATTCGTTCTTTTCTGCAGGAGCAGAGTTTTGTTTTGTGTCTATTTGCCATATCAGTTATCCTGTTTAAGGACTCGGCAGGAAAATAAGATATGCCAAGAGAACCAAAAAATAAAGTACTTATATTATTACAAGTAAACATACAAATACCACAAAGTGAAAATAGAGTAAATCTATTAGTAGTCCTTGATTGAAAATGTTACTTGATATGTTGGAAATACACTTTAAGTAATAAATTGAGCAGAAATGTGTCCTCTTTGTCTTTAATAATTACTCAGAGGTCGAAGTGATATCTTCACAATGTTTGTTTCATATAACCAACACTCCAAACCTCAACATTATTTAAAAAATAAATAGAAAAGAGCAGCGAATCCTCACAGTTTTGAAGCTGAACATTGTTCTTGCATTTTTAATTTTTTTAATAGTTGACAATTACATTCTTTAAATCAATGAATAGACTTAAAGTTTCAGCTATACTTAAATATTTAAAAATGTTTTGTTTGAAAAGAATCTTAATTTCTTAAGTGCCAAAGCTCTCCAATATTTGAAGTGGAGAACTATATTGTTTCATATAGTTCCCTCCCAAATAAAATGAAGTAATAAAACATACTCAAGTTAAGTGCAGGTATCTCAAATTGTTCCGTATGTTACAGTCAGGATACTTGAGTACATTTTCTTAGTTACATTTCACAACTCGTTAATATCTGTAGAGTTAATATAGTCATTTTCTATTAGTCACTTGGCTAAATCAAGCAAAGGCTCTCAGGTGAGAAGGATGTGAAGACCCTAATACGTGAGCCCACAAAACTAAAAAAGTTTTTAGTGAGTCTAAAAATCTGATAAAGAGACAAACTGTGATTCAACCTCAGATCATGACGCAGAGCAGATGTGAACACTTCCTCCACTTCACAGAGTATTTTTTTAGAAGACCACCAGGGGGCAGTAATGTCAAATGAATGAATCTTTAATCCAATTTTGTAGAATAATCTTAATTCATTTAATGTGGAATACCTTCATATTTCTGTTTTAAATTCTTCAGTGTACCTTAGATGTAATCCCCTTCAATGAGTTTTCAATGTATACATTATTTTGCATTTATTTGGCATATTTATTTATTTATCAAGTCTTCATTTATTTTGGCAGCTTCTACAGTGAATGTAGTGGATGTCCCAGGATGTAGCGATTACATATATTTATTGTGATTACAGTACTATGTGGTGTAACATTGTATCAGCCAATTCCTTCTAGTCAGGCTATTGTAACAGAAGCACTGTGGATAAAAACATCTTTCCATTAGGGTCCATCAGATTTCAAACTAGTGTGTATTGTTGAACGTGTCCCATGTGATTTATCATTGAGTGTGTAACCTAAAACATGATACAGATTGTGAGTGAAACACATCATCATAGTTGTTACATTTTTACATGCAGTTGTGCACATGCTTATCTTGTGCATTGTGTCCAAATAAACATTTGCTTAGTGACCCTGAACTAAATGTATGCTGGGAGAGTATTTAATTAATCTCTTCACGTTTGACACTCATAACTAAACTAACCCTATGATGAAATGTTTCTTACTGAGAATGCTTGGAAGAAGATTAAAGGGGATTGTTTGCTTATGTCATACACCTGCCAAGAAATACGTACTTTCTGTTCCTCATCATGACCGTAAATAGGGGATGCATCATATTTATTTTGAGATGTTGATAAGATAACAGAAGCATCTGCTCCTTTCCCATCAATTAGTGTGCAACTGCAATGTGAAAACTATGACACTGAATATAGTCCCGATTATAATAAACTACAAAATGTGTCACGAAATAACCATTTAACAATTGGCATAACAGTTATGCTCATGGATCAAAATTAATATAAGAGATGGCTCAATACCATTCTGCAGGCTTTTAATATATAATTGGTATCAATGCACTTTGCAAAAGAAGCCATTTAAAACACTCATGAATTGTTGAAAGTGCAGCTTTGTGCAAAAGTTAAATCTGGGTATTTAGAATAACAGAGGAAAAACAATTCTAGTGTAAAATACTTGATATAACTCAACACTCAATGTAGCCTACACGTCAATGACAGTTGTTGATTGTTTAGGCTAATGTATAATATGGGATTTTACATTGTTCCCTGTCTAATATCATATCCAAAACTCAGTAAGGGATCAGTGCATCCCTACTTTTCAAACCCGATTACAGATGACACACCAGTTTATAGGTAATATTTGATAATGGCATAATACAGTTATTAATGTACTTTTCTTCTTTAAACCAATACACACTTCCTCTCACATTCTCAACAACAGTGACTGAACCTGTCATTTTGAACCGGATCTTTTCAGCAGCATAAGGAAGGCATAAAAACTCAAGCAATTCATCAGAATAATTTACGGCACTCAAAGTGATTCACATAATTGGGAAACCCAAAGTTTAGTATCTGTGCAATTTCCTCACTTCCTCAGTAGTTACTAACGTCCATCTCTAGTGTACGCCCCTTCAAATGTTTCAGTTTTTCCCAGCTTAAAAAGTCTTTAGCTAGGGCGATTCCTTCATTTTGCTTCTTGTTTTGTTGTTGTTGTCTTTACTCATGTGTTTCACTTCTTGGTAGCACTGAGTATGACAGGAGGTGGCTCTATGTTGAGCTCTTGTCGGAGGTCTTCGATGTTCTGCTCCCATCGTCTCTCGTAGAAGATACTGAGGACGCAGCGGGCCCGACGACCATTGTGAAGAGCCCAAGGGCCCAAGGATGTGAACAGCTGCTGTAGACGGCTAGGAGAAGGGGAATTGAGAGGAGGAGTTTAGCATGGTGCCAGAATGTGTTACCTATACCAGTTCCACCAAAAAGCACAGCTTCAGTTACTGAATGAGGAAGGATTACTGATTTACAGTTAACAGTTTCATCACAACGGTAATAATGGTTGGTTTGTTTCCTCTTATTGTCTGAGCAGGACAAATGCCAAAAAGTAGTTGCTTGGTGGGCCATATATATTTGTCAAAGTAGTGGTAATGCTTTTTAACATCTATGTGTTATTTACAGATTAAAGGCTGAGTCCTATGTAGCCTAAGAGGCCAATTCAATTGAATAAATGAAATCACAAATCCATATTTGGTAAGAAAATGTATTGCCAACTGTGTTTCACTTTTCAACAAAAATGCAAAAATATTCAGCTTTCAGCATATATTATGACAGACTAAATATGTCATCTGGTTATATCACAATTGAAATGATTATAAAACAATTGGTAAATCAAGAAACAAATTGAGAAATTAATCCCTGATGAAATTGTTTTTCTTTGCAGGCCAAAACTATTCAGAGCAAATCAAAGCACCGATTCTGCCTCCATCAGCTTGGAATTTTGCTGAGTTGAACAGTTGAGCTTGAATACTATATTGAATCAAATATTTTCACTCAAACTGTAACTAACTGTACCTTCGCTCTTATTCCTACGGAGCTGGCTGCTCTTACTCTCCTTGGTACAGTACTACGTTGCAGTTTAAAATCTGGTATTGTACCTTGGATTCAACCGCAGTGGCCCCAGCACAGCTCCAAGCGTACACATGGGAAGGCCAGTCTGAGCAGCTTCAAACCATTTCACTGCCACTTCACCTGAAAGCAGAAAGAACAGAGAGAAAAATACAAAGTTATCAAGATTATAACCTTATGCTTTTGGTTTTTCAGCAATTTAAAGAAAAACTGCTGGGTCAATGTACATAATACTTAGTAGAAGGATTTAGATTTGTTCTAGAATGTTCTCCAGGTCAATCTAATAGTGCGTGGTGAGCAAGAAAAAAAAGCTCACATCAGCATTTTGTAGGAAAGGGCTTTGTAGAGCAGGCTATTCTTATAGACAGTTGGGAAGTAAAAGAAGGAAATAACACATGAAGTTGTAGTGAGAAATTCATTGTTCTGTCAGACACCAAATGTGTGGCTCCAGGTGCACCCTACCACTAGCATTGTTTGCCAAGTAAAAACATCTTCCTTTAACTGTATTCATTGATTTGACTGTAGAGGCCACATTTGTGCAGGATGTGTTGGAAATGTAATGACTAATATTTTACTCACCCAACATATTGGTGGGCATGCCCAGTAAGGTGTGCAGTAAATCATGGACCTCTCTGTATCTCTGCATAACGTAAGCTAACTCCTCATTGTCCACATATTTCACGTCTGCCCTTGAGTCTGGAGTCACATGCTGACACAACAGGAAAGGGAATCCATGAGTGAAGGCAAAACAGAAACTTAAAATCAGGGAATTCTGAGGAAATGTTAATCTTGTTGTAATCAGTCTTAACACAAACACTCACATTGTCCTCCAGGAAACGACAGTATTCCCTCCCAAAAGATCCGTCGGGCAGAGAGGCCATCTCGCTCAGATTAAGCGTAGACAGACGGATTCTGGGCCTTTCTCTGCATTAACAAGTAAAACTGAATATACATTTCATTCAATGTATAGAAAATACTGCTTAAGAGCGCCTATATTAAAAAGCTACTGAATAGTGTTACAGTGACTCACGATAGGATAGTGTAGCCTTCAGGGTCGTTTCTCATCTTTTCCCTGAGATTTATCAACGCTAGGTGTCCTGTTGTCTCCCCCAGCACTGCAACCATGTCTGTAGGGAGAGTTTTATGAAATTATCCCCAATGCAATGAGTAAAAAAAGCTTAATTTGAACAAAAAGGAAATTGTTTCACTGCACTGTTATCATATTTTGATAGTCTTTAATGTTGTACTGTTATATGTGTGCTGTTTGTCATTTGTTATCTGTACTCGAGTTTCCCCCAGTGGGACAATAAAGAACCAAAATAAGAATAATGATATGCTATGAAATGTACAATATAGAGATTTTATGAAAATGTTATTACAAGTCCAATAATAGATTGTCAAAAAATATGTGGTACATTTAGGCTTAACATTTGTTTAACTTGTGACTAGCATCAAATTAATAGATTTAAGGGGCATTCCATAGAAGTTACCCATAAGGCTCAAATAACTCACCACAGAGAGTATTACTCAGCCTATGAAAACAGCTGTTCATTATGTGGCTTTGAAGGAGATTTTTAAAGTCTGGAAAAAATGTCTGGCTCAAAATGACAAACGCCAATGTCATCGTTTGTGGAAGTTAGAATGACCTGGGTGTTTGCCAGGAAGGAAGGGGCACAAGTTTAAAAAAAAACACTAAATCTGTAGGATCTATCATTTATGGATATCCCCCGATACTAAAAGTGAAAAAACACGACAGGTGTTAGTGCTCTCTTCCTCCAAGAAAGTCTCTGGGTAACTGCACTAAATGATGTGGCCTCTCTTGATGTATAATTTCATTTCTGTTTTCAAGACCTTTTAGAAGCATGTACCAGTGATCTCCAGAGAATAAAAGATTGAAAATGACTAACTGTACTTGAACAGTTCATGATAAAATAAACCCACGGTACTGCCCCTGACTCTTGGTTTCATTCGACTGTAAAATGATGCATCAAAGTCTTTGTTTAAATTATAAATGTTAGAATTCATTAGGCACTGTACTAACAATTTAGTTGAATTTACCTCCAAAAACTAGTTTGACCAGATATTCTTATCACAAGGTTGAAAAACTGAATTATTTTTCAGGGCTTTAGTTTACATTGTGTGGTTTTCAGCAATGAACTCTGGGATCTTTTTCAGATAATATTTCTGAAGGCTCAGGAAAACAGTAATGTATGGAAAGGACTTTTGTTTATGTTATTTGTGTTATTTGAAAAAGCTATAGATTTAGAGTGAAATACTTGTTCATTCCCGCTAGGCAGTAAAATATACAGGATTTTGATGAATTTCTAACGTAAGGAACATTAGGGGGTTTTCTATTGCATCACCGGCAGAGTTATCTCCATATTTGTCTGGCTGTACAACTGTATTCAGCCATAAAAGGGAAGGCTATTTTGGGGTCTTTTTTTAGATTGCCTTAATTTGATAGTTGAAATACAGGTTAAGGAATGCAAGGGGGGTGGCATGCAGCATGTCATCAGCCAGATTAAACCCAGACGTTAAAGTAAGCCTATAGTTGTATCCGTCTTAACCACCTTGCCCTTTAAAATACATTTATGAATCAAAATAAAGAACAAAGGGAGATGTAAAGTGAACAATAGATATGCACAGACAATAACAAATAATGCATCCTGAGCCCCATGATATTATGTGTGAGTCTCACCATGTCTGTAGGGGTTTTGTAGTGCAGCCACTCCTGACCCCACAGCCAACAGGGCTTTCTGGATGGGAGTGGTGTGGATATGTCCAGGATACAGCCCATCATAGCAGCCGTCTGTAAACCTAGTGCTACTGCTGTGCACCTGGTGGACACACACTGTTGACAAAAAGAGAGAAGCAACATTAAAGGACTGTTTGACAACTGGACCAAGACAAAGAAATGACACACTAGTTAATATTTGTTTTATTGCACTCATAGAACAATAATAACTCATGCACACCAATTCAAATACAATTGATCTACAGGAGCTAGTAAAACCAGCAATATACTATTGCAAGATGTAGTGTACAACACAAGTCCTGGGACAGTATGTGCTTATGTTGGAGAGAAAGAGTGTATGTATTAAAAATCTGAATGTGCAATGAGATATATAAAAAGAGTGAATAAGATCATCGAGCAAAAGCTACTTGTCTTCATTCATAAAAGTCATTGACGTGAGAAATGTCATTCATAAATCACTGACATGTATTTAAAGATAACTACAATGATCTTCACCTACTGTGGACAAAACCAATCATCTTACTATGTAATATATAATATAGCATTAAGTTACAACGTGAATTGTATTAGCTAGTTACATTTATATGATGATAAACATAGCTGTTGGCTTAATAGTGAAACTGTTAACTCTCTGCAAACAAGGCTTCGACATGCATCAAATTCTATCTGAAAACAGTTACATTTCATCTCGATAGCTAGATTTTCTTAAAAGCCATGTTATGTTAATACTTTTTATAAAATAAAATGTAACGTTTGCTGTAGAAATGCATACCTTTTGAGAGCAAAACGTATTGTGGCTGAGTCAACCGCTGAACACTTCTACTGAAGGACGGCCACATTGTTGACGCTAATGCGCATGCGTCATCTGCTATTGCAATCGCTTTCGTCTCCGGTGCAGCCCGGATGAGGGGGCGGAGTCGGACCGTTTAATATTAACACTGAACAGTCCACAATTTCGTTCCACACAGCTGCCTTTTATAACAAAGTAAGCGCACTTAGGAATATAAACGTAAACATAGCTAAAGGTTGGCCTGTCCTTCTCAGGCAATAGCGGACGAAATTGTGTTTTCTGCAGAGATATTGTCCAGACACCAAGGTTAGTTTGCTGAGCTTGTGTTTCTGCTTACCAGGGCAATAGCTTAGCATTTTACTAACTGTTACCAAAGTGATAGGTTAGTCAAACACCGCGTATCTTAGCAAAGTAGCCGCCTAGAGTTGCGAAAGTAAGCTAACTCCACCAACCGACAAGTATCGTTAAGTTAAAGTGCGAGAAAGCTAATTGTTTAGCTACCCCATTGCTTGTTTTTCAGCCAATAACACATCCAAAAACCATTTTATATGATACTTGCAGATGTTATTCGGTAGCATAAAAGCACTGTGTAACTTCCCAGAAGACAATGTATGAGTGTGTCTGAGGGAGGTATGACTGAACAGCTTACAGTCCGTGGTTTAAATACTCTGTGTGACGTGGAGGGAGTGACTATAAGTACTAAGGTTGGGTGTTAGTGCGTTTTGTCGGATATCAGGGAAACTTAGCAAGCTGGGTGAGTTATATTTTGTTTTGTGTTTGAGTGCAATATCTCAGAGAGGTTTGCAGTCCCTTGGCAGGGATTTTAAAGAGACACTGAGCAAAAACATGGCGAGGGCAGGGAGAGCAGATGGGTTTTCTCTGGCTTCAAATGGCTGCTACTAGATTTAAAAAAAAAAACAGGACGTGAGAGTTGTTTGTGCTACTAAAGTTATTCATATGTAGACTAAAAGGTAGCTTTGGTTGTATTTTACATTCAAGGATATGTTTTGATTGAGAATGCAGCTTCTTGTGTTCATTCTTTCACCATTCTTCAACTGTTATGCAATTGTAACTGGAAAGGCAGTTTGAAAATACTTTTTTTTTTTATCAGAGCTCAGTCTTTTAAGTGTAGGGTTGCTCTCATAGTACTTGAGTTCTTCTTTGTGGCATGTTCAGTGAAACATAACAGACTGTACTGGTCGTTGGATTACACTTCTCAGCATGGTTGAGTTCATGACAAAGGAAGTCACCATATGGCTTTTACATGCCTGATTTAATGATAGTTTTAATTGGGTTTATAATAGCTGCTCTCTCAAGGTTTCTATGGATACATAGCTAAACAAGAGAGGGTGAGTATTAGTGTACAACTAAGGCTTGGCTCATTTGCCCTTTCTTCTACAGTTGGACAAGTTTAAACATTGGAATTTGTCCAATCTGTGAGTAAATATGAGTCAGCCTGCAATGGTGATGTGTCAGAGAGATATCAGGGAAAAGTAGTGTGGCTTTCCACTGATAAGCAACATTGAGCTTTTTCTAAGAAGTGTGTGACAGAGTTCTGCTTGACGTTAGTATAAAGTTATCTTGGGTGGAAGGTGACACTGAATAATTACTAATCATTTTTGTAGGAAATTCTATGGAAGATGAACAGGGTTGTAACATTGTACCCATCCTGCATTTGTGTATAACTAAGAAATTGAAAAAAAAAAAAGAAGAAAAAAGTGTGTGTGTTGTGTTAATATGTTTACCTATAAACTCATAAAAAACACAGAGCATCAACATTAGGAAAACAAAACATCATAATAGTTTAGACTCTACACTTTAGTGTATGACAACATATTGGAAAAAAATGCTTTATAATGCCATCTTTAAAGTTGGGATTTATAATAAATGTATCTTTAGCTGCTTAACTTCTTGAATTAAATAGAAAAGTATTGATGGGAGTATGCATGTAACTTGAAATATTATGTAACTCTCTTTATATTCTTAAGGCTATTATTGCTAATGGCTACTAATGAATTACTGGTCATATGATCCCTTGGAACCATTTAAGTCCCATGATAAGCAAGACTCTAACTTTTAGTCTTGTGATCATGACATGTTTATTGTGAAAATTAGATTTGAGGTTTGTGTGCCTGTTTTGTAGATTTCAGTGTACTTGAAATGAGTTTGTGGGCGACAGTAACCAGTAATTGCTAAGTGTAATTGATCTTGTTTAAGTATTTATCCCAGAACCACTATTGAGCCCACTTCTCTATACAGATGTCATCCTAACTTTTATGCCACATCAGCACATTTGTGTAAGCCTGTGTCAGCCTCAACAGTGAAGCCTGTGTGACTTTCTATTTACAGAGGCTCATCATTTTCATAAAGTTTGCCTGTCATTTTGTGCTTGGTGTACTTTCCCTTCAAATAATGAAGGTTGAAAATATATTGGAATAACCAATGGAACTACTTGTTGTGTGTTTTTTGTGTAAACATCAGTGGCATTTGAATTGGCACAGAATTATAATTTATGAGTTTAGTTTTATAAGTGTTGACTTTAGCAGTTTAAAAGGTGGATCCAACCCTGCTCAAAGCTATTTGGCTTGGCTTGTATTGTCTAGAGTTCAAACCAGATAAACGAGGCCTACATAATAACATTCTGGCTGCACACAAGAAGAAAGATTTCAAAGGTTAAATTATTCTGTCGTGGCATGCAAAGCTGTAGAGTGCTCATATTCGAAGCCCAGTTTCCCAAGACACTTACATTAACAAAATGTTGACATGCAGTACTTGCATGCACAAGCATACAGTAGCACACCATTTTCTGCAGCTGTCTGTAATATTAAGCCCATTTGGCACTATGACTGGCAAACGGCTGTATGCATATTTTGTCATGGAGAGCTCCATGTAGGTGTGGGGGAAAATGTAATATATGACATCTGCTGGTTTATTTGGAAAACACACCCCACTCATTTCTCAACCATAAGGGATTTATTTAATGACTAAACATGTAACTAACAGATAAGACCTTCAAAGAGCAGACATTTCTGAGAATATTTTTGTAAAGGTTTCTTATGCAAAATAAGTACAACCACAACCTTATTTCTGCACTTCATGCAGCCAGCTGTCAACTATTCACATAATAGGCTTTGTACTCTGAGTTACCATGATGTTGCATTTTACTTCCATCATTGAAGAAATACGGGTTTAAGCCCTGGCAGTGTAGCTTGAGTTAATCTCATAAACACTACCATAGCTTTTGAGTTGGAAGCTGATGATAACATATATCTTAGCCACAATCAGTGGGGTTTCGTTTTTGGTTGTTAAAAGAACATAAAGTAATGGCTGATGGTGCATAACCAGCCACGCTTACTTTAAGCCTCGTAAGCAGGTTATAGCTGTTTGGATAAGAGGTGGAAAGTCCAGTTGCATTGTTTGACTTCGCTATGGGGAGTAGTGTGGTCATAGTGCATAAGAGAACAGAGTCGACTTTTGCTCCACTTGTGAAGAAAGTCACTTACAACAGTAAAGGTCAGTTCATATTATAACCATAATAAACTAATATACACCTGTTCCCCCTCGCACTAAGCAATACTAAGGCAACATATTATTTAATTGGTAGGAAAACACGCAGACTCCTCAAACTAATTTAATCGGTCCACATTTACTAAGGTGTCATTAGGGACACTTCCACAAGGGGGCACCAAAGGAAGAGATATTCAAATCCTAAAAATAGGGGCTTTACATTTACAATCTTACATTATTTTAATCAAGGATACCATACAATAAGAGTATTATTATAATACTGCAGACTCTGATCCATTAGGCGTTGTGTTGTTGTCTATATATTATGGGCAGAGCATATAGTAACCACTAGGTGGCAGCACAGAAAGAAGTGCGAATTATTCGTTTTTTGTAGTGACTATTAGTCTGCCGTAGAAATCCTTTTTTTTTGCTTAGTTAATGTGGCATACAGTTTTCCTGACTCATAGCTTGACACAACCTTTGTTGAGCAACATTTGAAAGACTTTTGTTATGCAAGAAGAAAAGATCCAGCAGTGAAAGATCGACCACATGATGGTGCTGCAACCAGCAGATGACCTCGTTCCTTTTTTATAAGAACATTTGGAAAGATATCTTGGTGTCAGTGGATATCAGCAGATAGCTCAAACTTTGCACGCACCTCATATATCATATAGACTTTGTTGATAAGGAAAGCGGAAGGACAAGCCATTCTACCACGATGTACAATTTAGGCTTACAGCAAAGACATGCTAATGGTGAATTAGCCAATACATTATGGCTAAAAATGTTTTCCTTTCATGATGTCTCATTAAAATGAATTTGCTCAAAGGTTCCATTGTAGCCTCAACGGTTTTACATCTATTTGAATCTCATGCAAAGCCAATGGTTTTTGCATTTCTTTTAAGAGAACCATTCAATGTTCTGTTTGCAGGGTGTAGCAGCTGAATGTGACGCGGTTTCACCATAATATATCAGCCTTATTATCCTGTCACTGTACACATATTTGCTTTGGGCATGCACGGTTGACATATTGCACATTCAGTACAGCTGACATGTTCTGACACTTCCAATAGGTGTAACTCTGAATTACACAAGCAGTTGCTGATTCTCTAAGGAATTAGGGTTCACCCTTAATTAAGATATAATGTCAGAGTAAACACATTGACATTGCACAAGTGTTGTGAAATGTTCTTTACTTATAAAAGTCTTGGTTTGCATGTGTGGTATTCATGTGTGTGGTATTCATTCACAGGATATTGCACCAGATTGATGGAGAAGAATGGCCTACATCTCGATGGACTGCCCCAGCTCTTTACCCGGGATTCCTCAAAGTGTGCTGTCAGTGCCCATGGAAAATAAGTACAAATGTCAGCAGTGTCACCAGGTCCTGAGGAAGCCTGTCCAGGCCCAGTGCGGACATCGCTTCTGTGTACACTGCTTCAAGCAGCTCACCAGGTACACTGGAGGTCCACAGACCCTCCTCAGCCGTGTGAAATTCCAACCCCTTCACCCCCTAATGCTTACCCTCTTACCGGACATGCTTCAGCACATCCTGTGTTCTTATCTCTGCTCGCCCTCTGGGTTTTTTGTTGCAACCAAGATCAATTACTTTACTCAGGCCCCGGCTCCACGAGGACAAATACGGCAAAACGCATCGGAGTAACGCAAATGCAACCGCAAAAAACCTTCCGTCCCCACGCAATATACACCGGATTGTGTCAAGCTCCACGAGACGGCTCCGTTTACATCCAAACGCTGGAAAAGCTGCAGTACATATGCCGAACCTGTACGTGGCGCTGTAACTTCCTCCACAAAAGCAGCAACTTCCTCCACAAAAGCAGCGAAGAAGAATGGTTGTCATGGCTGCACTTCTGTGTATTCTCCGCAGTGGGGGCCGACAGAACAGGGCAGAGTTTTTCGCCGGTCAGTGTGTGTTAAAGTTTAAATCTTCCGGACAAAATTATAAAAGTGCCGGTCAAAGGTCTTCATTGTTATTTATTGAGCTTTAAAACAAATGAATAACGACGATATAATGATATATAATCATCAAATACACTGAGCCTGTCTCTTTTTCCTCTCTTCTGACAGCGTCAGTGTCTGTCTCATGCAGCAGCTGATCCTGTAATGAGTGACCCGACAGTAAAAAGGAACATATTTATAACTAGTTTAGGTAGTTTGAGAGGTAATTAAAATAGCTAAGGGTGATGATCTGACTTGAAGTGTGTGTTTTGCTCCCGCTGCATCACAGCGACAGGAGCTGCGTGTCTCCGTCCTGTCAGATTAGACTTCACTCGCGTTTATGTCCATATCGAGATAAAGATAAATAATCTGAATTCAAGGAGGAGCTCCTGTAGATGTTGCACAAAGAACTGTAGCATAGTCAGTAGCGACTGGAGCACGATAGCAACCCTGCGGGGGAGAGGCGGGGCTATGAAAACGAATGACCGTATAGGCGACTCCACGGCCCCGTTGGACCCCCCAGAGCGCTCCGTTCCCAGATCTATCCACCTTTGGACCCGTTGTCGTTTGCGGGGTCTGTTTCTACGTTTCCCTTACGGCGTCGTGGAGCTTAGAGGGCTATACGCATGAGAAATATGCGGATTCAACCCGTTTTCGTCCTCGTGGAGCCGGGGCCTCAGACTCATGACTCACATGACTGGACTCTTTTACTGAGTGAATCACAAGGATCTGACCCTGCTCATTCTAAAGGTGTCCATTGTTTCCTTTTCTGTTTCTTATGTCACTGAGTCATGCATTGGGAATTATTTACGGATAGACAGTTGTTTCACATGATGTTTAATCATACTTTGGCAGTATCATTAAACATAAGGTCATTACATAATTTTAACAACTATACATAGAACCATACATTAAACTAAACCTCAATAGCATGTACGTACTTTCAAAACAACCCCTAAGATGGTCACATTTGCTTTTGTACATTTCAGTATGTGTGAAACATGTACCTAACCTTTATAACCACACATGAAATTGAGGTGATTTCACATGACCTATTTGAAAACCACTTCTGCATACTATATGGGAAAACATCATGCTATAATGATAATTTCACATCTACTTGTTTGTGTGTGTTCTTCCTGTTAGACATTATTCTCATGCTTTCCCCATACATTATCAATGTCAATGTAGTGTGTTTTACAATAAAGTCACAAACCTGTTTTTTCAGTTCTGGCCCAAAGCCTTGTGAAGCCTGCCGCGAAGAGGAGATATACGAGGAACCTTTTTCGATTCTAAATAGTAATGAGGTAAGTAATGAAGTACTCCTTTTGGTCAGCCAACATTTTTATTTCATGAGACAGCTTGCCTTGCCTCACTCCCATCCTGATCCAAAAGAATGTTTCCTTCACAACAGCCTTACACAATGAGACCATAATATGCTATAATAATAATAATGTTCTTTGTTCGCCCAGGCATTTCCAGACAATGCAGCAGGACGAGAAATAGCAAGCCTGCCTGCCAGGTGTCTGAACGAAGGCTGTGATTGGACAGGCTCCATAAAAGAGTATGAGGTGAAGTATAAATACTTTTTTCTTTTGTCATTGTGGATGTATTCGCTGCTTTCTACTTGAGTATTTTTAACCATGAAAAACTGTCAGTTTACTCCATCCAAACCTGTCCTGTCAGTATTTGTTATTATTTAGAAACACTTTTTTACTCACACTGGGTTTTCTCTCTCAAATATTCTACATTCTGAATCGGGGCCTCATGTTGTACTCATGTTGGGTGTGTTGCATGCTTGGCAGCGCTGCTAGAGCAGAGAAACAGGAAGTGAAACTTGATATGCAGCCTGGAAAGTCCCCATGTTACCAGTTTGGATAACAACAAGCACTCAGTAGGAAAGTACCAGAATGAATAAAGGACACTCGAGAATAGCGTGTATACTTATTCAAGGTTGGGTTGACCATGACCTGATATCGAAACTAGATTTAGGCTACACCAAAAGGGAAATCCTAAATGTATACACTGTGAGACATAAAACAGGAACAGCTTCAGGCAGAGAGAGACACGTCATTCAAACACAGTGTTATCTATAAACACAGAAAAGCCCCGTTCCATAATCACTAAAGCTGTGTGTGATCTTTGTTCAGTTTTTACTATAAATACCTATGTGTGTTTGGGGGAGGGGGATTTTAGAGTTTACTTCCTGTTGTTTTTTCTGTAAAAACACAGCTACACAGTTATCCTATCTAGCACAACACAGGAGACATAACGATAGTGTCATGGCAGGAAACATTCAAACACCAAGCAGATGCTGGAGATTATATTTGCATGATTTGCAAATGTGGTTCTGACCGGTTAACCTGCTGACGCTGTAAAGAAAAACACGTGCTAGCAACGACAACATGGTCAATATTTGATTACAGTTTTTAAGAAATGATTACTAGGCGGTGTAAGACACTCACGTGTTTGTGGGAACATTTGTGTGCTGCTGTCTTAGTCACTGTCTTGTGGAAAGTGTTGCGATGTCTTTAGTTAGCCACACACCGAACTAGCTGGAAAAAACATGGTGTTAGAGTGGCGCAGTATCGAAAGGGATTTGACTCAGAAGCTGTTAAAAATGATTCATATTGGGTTTGGTTATTCATTTCGAGAATTGACGGTGTAGCGTGTCTGAAAAGTAAAGCGAAAACAGGCTAGCCTACCTGTGGTTCCAGCTCTGTGGCTCCTGCGTGTTGTTGCTTTGTTATGAAAGAGGAAACGCTCACATCCACAGGCTCCACCTCACATTCGAGCTCCACCCCGTTCCTTTCCCGGCATTTTTCAAAAATATATTTTTCAAAAAGATATTTTTCATTATACAACACTTTAAAGAGCTAAATCAAAACATCCTTTTTACAGTTTCACGCACTTCACTTTTTTATTTCTGAGCTTCTCTTTTTTGTACCTTATTCCTCATCTTCCATTGACTTCCTATTTACGGTTAGATGTTTGAAAAAGTTCTCTTTTTCAAGTCTCACTTCTTTTAATCATTTGTGTTTTAACATTCATATATTACAAACAAATTAATTGTACATCTCAGAATAGTTCACCTAAATGAATCACTTGGGTTTTTTATGCTGCGTAGATCAATCACATAAAAGTTGTTTTGTTTTTCCACATTTCAACTGTCAGAACATTTAGTCTGTTCCCATGAACGGGTGTGGCTGGCATTTGTACAGAGATGTAATCTTAACAATGATAACATAACTGTCAAAGAAGATTTACTGACAAGGTTCAATCATCTTTCTGTTGAATTACACCCTTTGCATGTCTGCTGTTGAACTATAAAACACACCTGTCGTTCTTTGGTATCATTAAAAAGACGGTGAATACCAGACACATATAGGAAGTAACAATTATCTAACTATATATCTGTCCTCTGTTAGGCTCAGCATGAAGGTCGTTGTGAACTTGAGCGGTTAAAGTGCGAGGCCTGCCAAAACACGATCCTTCTTTCGGAGAAGGACAAACACAATGAGAGAGAATGTGAAGAAAGAACGCTAAACTGCAAATACTGCAAAACATCCTTCAACTTTAAAGAGATCAAGGTGAGAGATGATCTAGTGTAAAGCGGTTGCTAGTGGATTATGTATGAACGGGACACAAAATAATATTATCATGCTGCTTTGTGTCTTTTAGGCCCATGATGAGATCTGTCCAAAGTTTCCCTTACAATGCAAAGACTGTGGCAAGAAGAAGATCCCAAGAGAAAAGGTTTGAGCTCTTCCTTCAATGATTTACTGTAAGGGTGATTAGTTGGCATGGAAATACTTGGCAATTTCCTCTCTGAACAAAGGCTCTTAGCTGCTATAATCTTAAAATAAATCTTTATTGCAACTCTTTGTACTGCATATTCCATTCACTGACTAGATTCATGCTACAAAGAGCCTTTATTGCTTTATTATGCCTGCAATATAATTGATCTGGTTACGAGATGCATGTGCATTCCCAAGACTAATCATCTGAAAAATGAAAGTATTTTTTGAAATGGGGAATGAGTGCCTAAGTTTCTTTCTCTCCAACACACTTTCACTTTTCTGTTTCATGTTGATACAATGTTTGAAGTTTGCCTGCTGACCTTTTGTATTATTTGATTCTACCTTCAGTTCAGTGACCACAGCAAATCCTGTGCCAAGTCAAAGAGTGCCTGTCCCTTCAGTGATGTGGGCTGTAAACATGTGGTACGTACGGAAATCTATTCAAATACAATGTTTCTATTGTGTTGTTACTTTCTTTGTTCTCTATTGACGCAGGCCCATACTAATAAGATAAGATAACACTTTACTGTCAGTTGAAATTATATTGTATCTTGCATCACATGCTCAAAGCAATGAACAGAATGACAGGACAACAAATTAAGGAAATCTACCAGAGGCCTGTACTACGAAGCTGGATTTTCGCTTAGCCGGCTAAATTCAGGGAAATCTCGGGCTTTCCGGTCCTACGACGCTGGTTCTCTTTCTAGCAGGCTAGATTTCCATGGTAACTTATGCTGAGCGGCAAACCTGCTCCGGAGCAGGTTAGGTGGCAGGCTAAGAGATCAACTCAGTGAAAGCACTGCCTGCTGACCAATCAGAGCTCCGTGTGCGGAGTTTAAAGCGATCAATTCATATGACAGGAGGAGAAAGGAAATACAGTTTAAACTGCCGTTGCAGGAAAGACGACCGGCCAAAATCAACTGACTGTGTGAATGTGAAAATTAATAGAATATCCCCTCCCATCTTCAGAGCAATCTGACTATTATAACATTAGCGTTAAGAAAGCTTACTTAAATATCTGCCACAACATAAGTAACCGGATCAGAGTAACATTAAGTACAGTCCGCGGCACTGTGAGTGCAGACGTCGATGTGTCCCATTATCATTGATATCATATCACATCATAATGTATCATATATTTCCTTATTTGAGTCAGCTTCTTGAGCCGTATCTGGCCGTGTAACACTCACAGTGTCACATACTGTATGCAGAAGTATTATTTTAAGCAACACATTAAATTGACGAAACACTCGAGTCAAATTCTCCTAATTAAAGTCAGATCCACTCGTGTCTTGGACGGGGCAGTGATTTCATAAACCTGTTAATGTACGCATTCAAACACTTTTTCTTTTACCAGCTGTATTCACCTTGCAGGTGCAGCTATGTGGCTTTTATCCTGGGTAAAGTGTTTAAGTCATGGATGTTTAAAGTTTAACTTCCTCATATTTTACTAATATTAAAGTTCACTTTTCATTCAGGAAGTATGACGCTGCGCTGTCAGTACGCTTCTCCATGTTTGTGATTGGTCGAATGCTCCAAATACCACCCCTTTCATGTGAACGCGCACCTAACTAGATAGGACACGGCTGGCTTGAGCGATCCACTTGATATCCAGCGTCGTAGTACAGCTTAGCGCCAGCGCGTATGTTTTGGATTACGCCAACCGGCTAACTCCAACATATCCAGGTTAAGTTGAACCAGCTTTGTAGTACAGGCCTCTGGTCACCTTCCAGCACACACACACACACACACACACACACACACACACACACACACACACACACACACCACACACACACACACCACACACACACACACACACCACACACACACACACACACACACACACACACACACAACACACACACACACACACACACACACAACAACACACACACACACACACACACTCACACACACCACACACACACACACACACCACACACACACACACACACACAACACACACACACACACACACACACACACAACACACACACACAACACACACACACAACCCACACACACACACACACACACAACACACAACACACACACACACACACACACACACACACACACACACACACACTATATTCATATGGATACAAATACTTTATAGACTTTCAAGGAAATCTGCTTCTTGCTTTGAGGCCAAGAGTAAAAGTGAAGATGAATACTGTTAATGTAATGCTACTGACAGGAGAATTGAGATTAGGTTAGCATAAAATAAGGGAAGTGGGTGAATAGAGCTGGCCTGGCTCAATGCCAAGGCAACTAAATATGTCTACTTTCCTTAAAGACACATAAATATAGACAAGTATACAGAAGCTACCAGTCTTTATGCTAAGCTAAGCTAAAGGCCCTCTGGCATTCAGATGTAGTGTGGAATTTTCTCTGAGCTGGCTTCACTGGTAAGCAGTGGGTGGGCTCAGTTACATAAAGATGATGTCACACATGTGTGCACCAATCAGGAGTTAGCAACATTTGAATTTAAACCTGAGTATAGTTGAGATTGTAATTTATGCTGCAACGGCTGCAACTGAGAAAACTCCTCCACACACAGTCCTGGTGATTAGATGGGTTTGGCCTGCTTAAACTGTCCTAATAAAATAAATATAAAATGTTATATAATAGTCTTGGAACATTTGATGTTATCAATGTCAAGACTTCAAACCAAGAGATCCATTTTGAGCATGTTTTAAATGAAAAGAAACTATGATTGGTAAATCCTGAAAAACGGTCTATATTTTGCTTATTAAAACACGCACAATTGTATTCAACACCATTATGTCCTACAGTTTTCAAGGTTTCAGTTCAGAATCAGAATCATAATACCTTTATTAGTCCCACAGATTGGAAAGTTACATTGTTACAGCAGAAAATAGCCAAAGGCAGCTTAATGTTACCTAAGTAGCATGCATAAACATTTTTTTTAAAATATTTAAATAATAATAATAATAATAACAATAGACCTAACCAAGCTGGGTTTTGTTTCTCAGATAGAGAACGGGAAGCAGAGCGACCATGAGCACAGCAGCACCATGGAGCACTTGCGTCTGCTGCTGCCCATGGTGCTATCCATTGCCGTGCCGCCCAGCGATGCTTCCGGTCCCGGAGAGTGGCAGGAGGACTCAGGTCTGGGCCTGTACAGGGCCCCTGAGGAGGGGGTCAGTATGGGCTCTGGAGCTGCAGCCTCCAGTCAGTCTATGGACCTAGATAAAAAGGTGAGTCTCAAGGATTACATGCTCTTTCCTAAGATCCTACTTTGAATGAGGGTCTAAATATATCTCTTGCTGTTTTTCTCTGACAGGTAAAAGCTTTGGAAAACATTGTGTGTGTCCTGAACCGAGAGGTAGAGCGCAGCGCAGTTACTTTAGAGGCTTTCGCACATCAACATCGTTTAGACCAGGACAAAATAGAAAATCTCTCCAGTAAAGTGCGTCAGCTGGAACGGACAATCGACATGAGGGACTTGAAACTGTCGGAAACTGAGCAACTGGTGCGGGAACTTCAGTTCTGCACCTTCGACGGGATCTTTGTGTGGAAAATCTCCGACTTCTCACGCCGCAGACAGGACGCCGTGGCCAGTCGAACACCTGCTATGTTCTCTCCAGGTGTGATAAAAGACCTATTGAACACCCATCATCCATTTCAAAGGCCTCTGTTCTCAGCTGAAAGGTTCTTTTTGAACTTGAGTAGGCTTAGATCATGTGGTTTATGTGATGGGTTGGCGTGCAGATGAGGGAAATTCCACTTCCCTACACCCTTGTTGTTGAGGGAGTGAACATGTTACTCCCTCATGTGACACATGACCTTTGTTTTTAGGCTCTGGTTACATTCTTCTTTTTCCTCCTCACAGCATTTTATTCCAGCAAATACGGCTACAAAATGTGTCTGAGGCTGTATTTGAATGGCGACGGGACGGGTCGAGGGACTCACCTTTCGCTGTTCTTTGTCGTCATGAGGGGAAAGTGCGACGCTCTGCTCAAATGGCCCTTCAGTCAGAAGGTAGCAAAATGTTATCACTAGTGGTGACTCATATTATAACACACTTTATAATCTGCATGCAGCACTGAATAATTATACTTAATAGTACTACATCACAAATTATACACATCCGATTATCACACAGCATTTTGTAATCACTATAAGGTCAAGTATTATAATATTAACGATACAACTTTTTAACAAGCACAATGGTGTATTATAATTCCCGTTCCTATAATACATTATAATCTTTATTAACACATACAAGCAGTCCTTGGTTGCTTAAAGTAAAGTGGACAAAAATATTGTTAAGTGTTTGCAAGAAAACACAAAAAACGCTTTTGGACGATAAAAAACTGAAAGCTGGACAAGTACATTGCACTTAATGATGTAATAATGTAATTGTACCAAAGACAGTCTCTCTGAAGACTGAAATCACTCAAAATACAGATAATACCTGAAAGAACTTAATACTTATATAGACATGCTAAGTTGCTAACTCACAGTTGCCAGGACGACTAGCTGAAACAGTCTCTTTCTCTCTCCACAGGTGACGCTGATGCTCTTGGATCAGAACAACAGGGAGCACATCATCGACGCCTTCCGGCCCGACGTCACCTCCACCTCCTTCCAGCGGCCCATCAGCGAGATGAACATCGCCAGCGGCTGCCCGCTCTTCTGCCCGCTCGCCAGGCTGGCCGGCAAGAGCCCCTATCTGAGGGACGATACCATCTTCATCAAGGCCATCGTGGACCTCACAGGCTTGTAGGGTGTTTCTGTGGAAGCTACACCAAAGCAAACTGAGACAACAGGACACAAACTATTATTATATAATATATATTATTACATAATATGATATAGATATGCACTGTATCTAAGACATAACATTTTATATATCTAAACTATATATATTAAGAATGCCACCAGTGGTCCCTTTAAGACGGAGTTATAAGGGTGAGTTAAATAATAACGGTTGTCAGCTGTGGTGGTTTAAGTATCTATTTTTTGTAGAGCAAAAACAACAATTAACAATTAATTGTGTTTGTAAGCATCTAGGATGCAGGCACTACTGTGTCATACCTGTCTGTCTGTCTGTCTGTCTCTCTGTCTGTCTCTCTGTCTGTCTGTCTCTCTCTCTGTCTCTCTGTCTCTCTGTCTGTCTGTCTGTCTGTCTCTCTGTCTGTCTGTCTCTCTGTCTGTCTGTCTCTCTCTCTGTCTCTCTCTCTGTCTCTCTGTCTCTCTGTCTGTCTGTCTGTCTGTCTCTCTGTCTGTCTCTCTCTCTGTCTCTCTCTCTGTCTCTCTCTCTGTCTCTCTGTCTCTCTGTCTGTCTGTCTGTCTGTCTGTCTCTCTGTCTGTCTGTCTGTCAGTCTCTCTGTCTCTCTCTATGTCTCTCTATGTCTCTCTGTCTGTCTCTCTGTCTCTCTCTATGTCTGTCTCTCTCTCTCTCTCTCTGTCTGTCTGTCTCTCTCTCTGTCTGTCTCTCTGTCTCTCTCTCTCTCTCTTTCTCTGTCTGTCTCTCTGTCTGTCAGTCTCTCTGTCTGTCTGTCAGTCTCTCTGTCTCTCTCTATGTCTGTCTCTCTCTCTCTGTCTGTCTCTCTGTCTGTCTGTCTGTCTGTCTCTCTGTCTGTCTGTCTCTTCTTTTATTAATACATATATAGAAAAGTGATTCAAACAGTAAGAAACACATTTTTATTTTATAATATAGTATCATCCGTCATCTTAAAGGGACCCTGTTGGCATTTTTGTAAAAGCTCAGAAATTATAACACATAATATGCTTAGTAAAATCGTTATAATTATTATAATACTCGACACTCCAGTCTACATTATGTTGTTCTCTACACCCGGGTCAAACGTAGAGGCAATCTGTTGCCAGTAGGAATACAGAAGCATGTCCTGTTCTGCACCTGGCCATTTGAACAGTGCAACATGCTGGAATTAAATCTAATAACGCTATATAAACTGATACAATTAACAAAGTGAAATAATACACTCCACCTGAAATTCCCTGTGAATCAAACTCCATGTTTTTATGCCTTTTTGTCCTAAGCAGATGTGTGGTAACATTACTTTCAGGTGGACAACCTATCAAACAATTACAATATTGAAAAACCACTCATTTCTGTATCATATGCTGCAGTGAACCTGTTACCAAAACTAGGTCAGTCCTAACAGCTTAATAGCTCAAATGTATAACAAATAAGGAGAAATGAAAACAAATCAAACATTTTGAGAAAAGGCATTACGTTAACCGCCATGACAAGGCTGGAGTTTATATATATAACAGTTTATAGCAAGCTCATATTGTAAAAAACACAAATTCCTGCTTTTGCTTCTAGTAAATAGAAATGTAGTTAACTATATATCATAATAATTTGTCTTTATCATAGTTATTATACATTCATTTATTTGTATTTGTTCTATCATACTAGCGTACTTTTTGTTTTATATACATATATGGAATTGTACATTTTGCCTTAAACATTAACACATAATTAATGAGTTCAAATCATAATAAAGTACTACAGTATATTTCACAAATGACACCTTTGTTGTTGCTTTTGTCTAATTACATGTCTTTTATTTACGGTGTACCATGTTCTGCTGTTGGAACATTCTGTTTATTTATTGTATATTGTATGGAACATGCAATATGTCCATTGTTTAATTAAACAACCCAAAAATAATTGGGATAGAAAATGTAAATCTTTAAGGATTTGAAATATTAAAAGAAATAACCTTGAGATTTTTTAAATGATATTGGGTCTTTCCTTTTTCTTGATATTTTGTAGACCAATAATTGATTGTACAATAAACAATTGGCCCAATAATGTTAATAAATAAGGAAAATAATCATCAGATGCAGCCCTACTAGAGAAGTAAATCCACATTTTAACGAGCTAGCAATCTGAGGGATTCTTCTTTACAGATGGCCGGTAGCATAAACTGTTTGAACACAGTTCAAAAAAATTGTTCTGGGCTCTTATCAAAAAAGTATTAATTTTTTTATATAAGGGGGTTATAGTATGTTGAAAAAGTGGAAGAAAGTCATAGTACAGTATGGCGAAAAAAGTTTAAAAGAAAGTCATGGTATAGTTTGCTGAAAAAAGTTACAATAAAAAAGAAATGATAGTATAGTATTTTGAAAATAAAGTCACATTATAGTATGTCTAGAAAAAGTGAAAAAAAGGCCATAGTATAACATTTATTAAAAAATAAATGAAAAACTTTATATGAATTTTCTTCAATTAAAATGTTAATGTGAAATGAATTGATGACAAGTCAGTAATCAAAACATGTGTGCTTGCATCGTTTTCTATTATATGAACAAGGTAGCACAGAGGTATAGAAAATAACATTTTGTGTCACTCAAACGTTCATTTGTTGAGGGTCCCTAAGTGAAACCCTGTGGTTAGAGCGAGGGCTCGATGAGAGCCAACCGTCCTCTGAATGCTGAACGTGAAACTGAGTAAGAAGAAGAAAATGTATTCGCCTGTCTTGTTGCACAGAGATTTGAAATAGCGGATTTTATTCACGGCTCTGAATATGCATCACAGAAGTAGGTGCCATTTAACAAGAAGGTGAGACTAACCGTCACCAATGGGAACATATTTCTTGAAAACAAAACCCCTGAATAAACCACAACGCTAAATGTGAAACTGTCGCAAATAAATGTGTTGTTTCCTTTATACATAGTCTATGGTCGTTTAAAAAATAACTAGGTGTTAACCGGTACCTCGTTTGAACCATAACTGGAACACTAACACGGCTTGGTTTGGCACGGCTCGGTTAAACTGGGGCCTGTGGGGAAAACCATGCGGGGTTGAGATGAGCTGTCAGTGTCAAAAGCACTGAGGGTATTTCTTTCTTATAAAACCCATTTGTTTCAGTGCAGTGTGCTGACATTAAGAGAACATTAGCATATGGTGAGGAATGTGCGACATCTGAGGAAATGGTTAGACATCTGTGGAAAATCTTTATAATTAACATGAATTATGAATTTGGTGGATTCCAATGACCTCATTTCATTTTTAGGTTTAAAAGAACAACATTTTCAGATTTCCTTGTTGATAGCGAGCTGTTAGATTAGCATGTTAGCATGGCTGTGGACCAAGGTTTAAAATCTCTCCACCTGCAATGGAGGAAAGAATTTAAGTCAGACATCATTTGTATTTGCCAGAACAGTAGCAGTACTTGGAAATGTGTTTACTGTAGACGTTCAATGGTATAATAAGAAAAGAATAATAATCGTACACTTTTGCAGAAGACTGGCCATTTATGGCATGTTTTTTATTTAAGGGGAGTTGGAAAAGGACATCAGAGGACAGGAAATGATTTACAAGATGGAGCTACAGTAAAAATGACAGATAAGAAAGTTGTAAAAAGGAACCAAGGAGAAAGTTTCAAAAGGGAAATATTTTTCAATGGGAAGATTCAGCTGAGAAAGAAATTCCCACAGGTTACTCTGAACATATGAAATGCACCCACGTTCATAATTAAATGAGCGATCATTGTCGCAACATAATTCAGCAGGGACTCTCAACAGAAATAAAAGTATCTTCCCAGTAAAGTACCTGAAACTTGTGGGGCTTCAATTGCAACTGAAAGCATCAATGTTTTACTTTTGGTTTTCTCCTTCAGCGTACAACCTTGAGAGGACTACAGGCATGATAAAAAAGATGGGGGTAACATGTACACAGAAACATTTAAAGAAAACAGAAAAATTATCAGACTTTTGAATATAGGGCAGCAGAAAGTTTGCTCCAATTAATAATGTTTTTTAAATGAAAGATTTAGGTGACATTTCTTATTAAACGTGTCCAGAACAGTCTGCATTTGGACATTTTTCAATCTGTTGAAATAAGATACAACTTTAATGAGCTGCCAATTTACTGAACGTATTCATCCAATATCATGTCAATGTTTAGACTTCAAGAGGGGAACAGCAGATACATTTTTAGATAAAAAAACAGCCAGGAGAATCTTCTTGTAAATGTGTCAGAAGTCTTAAAAGGGGGTTTGCTCTACTAGATGTGAAAAAAAGGTGTTTAAATACAATTCTACATAATAAGGACCCACATACCAATAAGCCACAAACAACATTTCTTTTGTTCACAGTCACGCGTAATGATCCTCAGCAACTATTCTCGATTAAATAACTCAGTAATCCTCCTTTGGACAGAATAAGGTTTGATCATTTTTGGGGCCACAAAAAATGGGGATGGGATTTAATAAAAAAAACAGGCAGACTGCCGCTAAATGGTTTTATAAGTCTTTGAAAACACCATTTTTGGAGTGTGTTTACACGGGACATCAATTGGACAAAGCCAGTAGTAAGAAAGGACATTTCTTTACAGCACTTTGCCTCTGATGAGCCGGACATGACGTCTCTGCAGGACATTCACAAACATTTACACCTCAGGTCCAGGAGCCCTGACCTGCTCAACATTACAGATAAAAACGGACGTCTGTGTGGTGCATTCAGGTGTCAGCTCTACACTACCTCTACCTGTGAGAACATCTTACTCCTGTCAGCAGTCTGTCGTCCTGGTGCAACAGCGCTCTCTTGTGGCTACACCCTGAGTCGCATCACATCTCCTGTTACCTGAGCGCTGATGTGTGGCACAACACAGTGAGCTCAAGCAACACCACCGACTGTAACCACACTGTACATATACATGGAGTGTATATAAATATATTCACACCGCAGAGGAAACATCGAGCTTTCCTCTCCTCTCCTCGCTCTCTCTCCGCCTTCAAGTGTTTTCCAACCTGACTCACGGTTTTCCGTTCACGCTGCTGCTTGCACACGTTGAGTTTTTGTTGCGGCTCAGCCAGGAGGACAGGAGGCCGCGGGGCCGGTGCGGGCGGTGCGGGGCCTGCGCCAGGCGGACCATGCGGGGCGAGCGCCACACCTTAATGGTAGAGTCATCGCTGGCGGACAGCAGCAGCTCCTGGTCCGCCGGGCTGAACGCCACAGAGTTCACCACGTCGTCGTGAGCCAGCCGGGCCAGACAGATGTTGTAGTGACGGTCCCAGATGTAGCCGTGCTTGTCCTCTGCTCCGCTGTGGGGGGGGGGGGGGGAGAGATACGTCAGTGAAGTATTTTATAAATACAGAACTATTTTTCTCATAAATTCTTCTTCTGATTAATGTCTCTTTTAATAGCAATATATTAGAAATAACCTAGTTGTAGAAACCATTAAAAAAAAAACTGTATCAAGTTCCAAAAAAGTCCAAGTTACATAACATCTTAAAATGTCTTGTTTTGTCTGTCCAACAGTCCAAACACAAAGAAAAACTGCTTTTTCCAAGATAAATGAAGCTGTTAATTTCGAGCATTTTTTCCAGTAAAAATATTTACATTTATCAATTAGTTGATTTAAAGGTAGAGAAAATGAATCAATGATTTGTTTCAGCTCTGAACGTCACCTTATGTGAAGTCACTAAAGAAAACATGGGGCGAATAGACCAAACTAACGTGCAGAAGGTCATTTTTTTACAAGTAAATATTGAAGCATACGTTTGCATTTTCCAAGTCTAATAATACCCATATGTGTGAATGCCCGTTTGAAGAGTTTGTGGAAATATATTCAGTAATGTATCAGTCATTGTAGCCAGAAAAGTAAAAGTCTTCATGTTGAGCATCCTACAGAGTTATTTTCTTCCTAACCATCTGAGAGAAACATTTCATTTCCATCTTCTATTTTATTTTGCTCCTAAATGAAACCTCAAATGTAATATAGCAAGTGTTTTTCTTACATTTTGTAAGTTGTCAATGCCAAAACAGTTAAGAATCTACAAATGACGTGCATGATGTATAAACAGAATCATTGTGATGCATCTGTCTATATAATATGCCAGGAAAACAGTTGTTTCAACGACACGAGTTGTCAATTTGCAGTGACAAGTTCACCACAATTTCAGTATCACTTCCTTCACACGGCCACTAAAGGGCAATACCCAGGTTTATTAACGGTGAAGCCTGCATCTGTGAAAGCTGCATATATCGATGGAAAGTTAGACGTCTTTGTCCACTCACCTGGCAACAAAGTCTCTGCTGACGTCGAGGAAGATGAAGAAGCACTCGTCGTTAGGCGTGAAGGCTCGGTGAGCGCGCAGGCTCCTCCTCTCCTCCCTCAAACTCTTCAGATCGATGACATGGAGGTCGATCTCCTCGGCGATGGGAGGAGGAGACATCGGGTCAGAGATCACACACCCCGCCGGCCAAGCTCGACTATTCACATAAAGGTACCTGATCCATAAAAGGAGAAAAGTGACCTTAAGAGAGGTGACGCCATTATGATATATAGTGTTTTTCATGTTGTGAAAACAAAGTGTGCTTACACATTAAATGGCAATAAGTACGCAGACTAGGGATGTTAAGATTCACCGATTCGCATCGGTGCACCGGCATAAACGTTCAAGATGCGAGTGCACCGATTGAAAGAGAGCACATCGGCTACAGTTTGGGTTGAACTCGCGATGCATCGATTGTAGCGTCTTTGCATCGGTAAAAAAACGATTCATTCATATAATATCCCCTCATCCTGTCAGCACTCAGCAGAGACGATCTTTGATCTTTGCTTCGCCACTACGGAGGCCGAGAGTCTCAGTTATCAACACACATGGAAGTCGAGGAGAAAGAGAAACACAGCGCACCGAAAAATACCTACAAATCAAACGTTTGGCAACACTTCAGATTTTTCAAGAAAGACGGACAACTTGAAAAATCGCTCGCAAAGTGTAAACGATGCCGTGCGGCTTTAAAGTACACAAGTAGTACGAGGAACTTAGCGACGCACTTAAAGAGGCGACATGGGGTCTGCGGCTGAAAATAAAAACCTGAAAGTTAGACATGAGTTCAATCACTCAGTGAGGTGTTCTGTCAGTGAGAGTGGTGTTTAGTTTACAGCAGCCTGTGACTGCCAATAATAGTTTAAATGTCTTCCCTACAATTGTAAGCAGTTATGAAATACCTGTTTGTGAAAGGTTGTTTTCTTTATTGTTCCTATAGAAACCACTGCTTTCTGCTCACTGGTGAGTTAGCCTATGAACGAGTGTTAAGCACATCAGGCTGGCAGTTGTATGTGCATTGCACTATGGTAGTTGTTATTTGCACATTGTTAATCCTGGGCAATGCATCCTTAAATTGTTTAACTGTGAGGTGTTATACAATTGAACTGTACTCTGGAGACAGAGAACACTACTACACTTGTGAAAAGGCCAGTTTGTGAAAGGTCCAAGTGTTTGTTTTTTTTAAGGTAAAAAAGAAAAAAAGAAGCATGATGGGATGCGCAGTACTAGTAGAGAGAAGCAAATATGTGAAGCACTTTTTTGTTAATGTATGATTTGGATATAAGGAATAAAACAAAATCCTCTGTCATACCATATTGAATTGTATCATTATTTTGCATCGTGTTGAATCAAATCGTATCGAACTGTATCGCAACAGGGGTGAATCGTATCGTATCGCATCGCATGGTGTTTCAAAGGTATCGTTAATGTATCGTATCGTTGGCAGCGTATCGAGATGCGCATCGTATCGGCCTCAGTGATGGAGATGCACATCCCTAACGCAGACACACAGATTAGATCAATATGATAACAGAACATCTCATCCATTAAAATAGATGTTGGCTTCTTTAATCCTTTTCAGACCGTCACAGTCCCCATTAAAGTTCACACCTATATGAGCCTGCATAGCTTATTTCCCACATTGAACTGAAGCATGCTGAATCTGTACAACATTTACTAACCTGTGGTCTGGAGAAAGGCCCATACCGATGATGTGTCCGTGGATATCAATAACATGGTCCAAGGAATCAAAAAACTCATCTGAACTCCGCTCTTCCCCGAGCACGGGACCGCTGGTGGTCATCTGCTCGGGCTTGATCAGCTTAATACCTGAGATAGAGTTTGATATAGAGCACATTTCAAACAAACGTCGACCAGAAAGAATGAAAACACACGGGAACGATCAGATAAAAACCCATGCATAGCTATGAGAATATAAGTAAATCAATAGAAGCATAGTATGATATGATGAGAGCAGAAAAATAGAGAATAAAATACAAAAACATGTATCTGTATCTGCATGCTTTAGCTTTGATGCCGCAGCCTTGAATGGATCTTACCTATCTGGTGAGGGGAGTATGTAAGGCTGCCGGTGGTGAAGAGTAAGTACGTTTTGTCCTCTCCCTCCCCGGGGTCAGAGGGCACGATGAGGCTGGGGTCAGGGGCCTTCGTGTGCGCTTTGCCCATCATCTTAGCCAAGTGGGTCTCAATCGCCATCTCCGTTGGACCTACATTTTTACGGCTCTAATAGGAGGCACGAAAAGAGTCCGAATGAAGAACAGTATCGCTTCAAAGGAACAGCTAAAACTGCACCCCTTACTCACCTGTATAACGTTCTCTATGCCGGAGATGGTGGGCTGAGCATGGCGTGCGGTGGGGAGCCTGGCAGCCTCGCCCAACTCCCCTTCTTCCTCCTCTTCCTCACTGCCGGAGGCCCCCAGGTCAAAGAGGAGCGGCTGGTGCTGCTGCTGCTCTTTCTGCCTCCGAGCCTGGGACTGAGCTTCGTAGTCCAGCACCAAGTCCGGGTTGTCATGGCGACGGCAGTGAGCCACCATCACTGTGCGGATGGTGCTGGCGTTGACGTTCTGGATCTTGAAGAGGCGCTTGACTACGTTGACGTTTTCCGATTCAACATCCTGTGGGAGAAAAGGAAAAGGATGAGGAGGTCGGACGATTGGGAGGAAGAGTTTTATTTTTATTCAAGAATGAAGACATACTTCTTTATTATCAAACCTGTGAGCTTCTTAGTTAAACCAAAACAGCAGAAATGTTTCACAAAGGACCACATTTTTTACAATTTGTAATATTATATCTATTCAATGTTGATTGCAACAGTGGGAAAAAGACACCAATTGCAGCATGTGTCAGAGAAACGTGTGAAGACTTGAAGAGAATTCTTTTTTTTTAAGTTGCTCAAGAAAATTACACAATCCCATTATCCAGCCACAAACTACAAGCCAAACTATGTTCCTGTAATTCTTCATCTCCACGTGTCTGCCAGTAGCTGCTGTTCTCACCTGGAAGGCTTTGTTGAGCCAGAGCACGGAGCAGGACGTCATGTTGCCGATCCAGTGCAGGTTCCCAGAGATTAGATGGGTCTCATTCAGCCAGCAGCCAAACACATCGTACGGCTTGTTCCTCACACGCGACAGCAACGTGTAATTATCTGTGTGTTAAGAGACATGAGGAGAAGGAGAAGCACAAGGTCAGGAGAGACTACCACTAAAGATGATTGGGAAAAATAAAATATGTACTTCACAGGGTTCATACACTTTTTCACCAATGATTTTCAATGACTTCTCCATGACCTTTACCTAATTTTCCATGACCAAAAAAATAACTCTTTCTCAGCGGTACCACTGAAAATGGTTTATTTTAACATGGAACAGGAAAATAAGGTCTGCATCTGAAACATGTTGTGCCTATCTAAAACAAATCAATTTGTTAAGCTAATAGGCTTACTAGCTTCTGCACGCTAAAGCAACTCAAATCTCTCCCCAGCAAAATACCTCGTCAGTTAAATGCCATTTTACGTTTCATTACTATACGATACAGTATTTATTATCATTATAGTATTGCTATTTCGGCGATTAGATAAAATATAAATTATATTTGATGCAACTTTAGTTACATTTCCATTACTTTTCCAAAACTTTGGGAAAAATATTGTTTTCCATAACTTTTCCAGGGCCTGGAATTAGCATTTTGAATTTCCATGACTTTTCCAGGTTTTTAATGACCGTAAGAACCCTGACTTCAACAGAAAATGACGAGGCATGACTGTTTTGGTATTTTCGTTGTACTTACCCAGACTAATGACAGCTATTTCCCCAGACGAGGAGTGGTGGGGGCCCAGGTAGACCCCGGACACCAGCAGCAGGGTGTCGTCAGCATTGAACTGGGAGAACTGGGTGTAGCCCCAGTTGAACTGACGCATGCTGGAGCTGTGCACCATGGAGATATTTCCATCTGGCCGCTCTGTGTCCCATAGCTGCACACAGGAAGCCAGAGGACAGGATAAGAAAGAAAAGAGAGGGGATGTTTATCCTTCAATTCCGGACTGCAAATAATCCAGAAAATAAGATTTGCAATAAAAGTAACCTGAATAATGGTTTAATGCCTACCTTAACGGTGCAGTCTTTGGAGCAGGAGGAGAATCGGTGACCCCGGTGAGAGAAGGCCAGGTGGAGGACTTGGTCAGTGTGCTCTACCAGCGTCTGAACCTCCACACAGGGGATGCAGTCAAACAAACGCTTGAACTCCCTGTACCATGACACCGATGCTGCACAAAGGAAGATAAGGGGATATTTAAAGTTGTAAACAGTCCATGAATTGATCAACGAAGCTGTTATCAGTGACTTTTGTTTTGACTTCTTCAGTGACTTTGATTATTTACCTGGGTGTCGAGGTACAGGGCGAGGTATGCGGTAGAAGCTGTAGAACAGCTCCCTCCACAGGAACTCATCTCTGGAGACGGCCAGCCACTGTCTGCAGACCAGACCAGCGCTCAGCACGGCTTCATGGGGCAGACGCAGGAAGATCTCCAATACCAGGCTGTCCGGCAGAACTGGCCCACACTCCATCCTAACATCCTGTGAACAACACACACACACACAGAGGTTAGGTCATGTGAAAGAAACTTTAACCCCTTAACATAGAGTTCTGCAGTCATTAAAGATAGTCAATACTTATTCTAAATCATCTATTTCCATCTTGCTATCAACTTGTTCAAAATATTATATGATAAGACAAAGTTAAACTATGTTTTATTGCTTTAACATTCAATTAAACATTTGTAGATGTTTGTGTAATATTTTACTTAAAATCTCAGCCAGATATGTATTTGATATCTTAAAAATAACAAAAATGTGTTGATTTATTTAAAATGTCATGTTATAAATACATGTTTTTCCTTTTTTGTATAAGTGGTATAAGTATTTATAAAAACCTATATACAATTATTCCAAGGTACAAACAAGAAGGGGGTCCCCAGAATACTCGTGGATATTGTAAGGGGTACATGTCTGAAAACTTCTTATCTGGAAGATGTAGAATCTTCTGATTTCCAGATCATCGATTTAAAAAATAATGTTGCAGCACTACTATAAACTGAGGAAAGAATTGAGGAGAGAAACTCTGAAAATGCATAGGTATAATCATTTTCATATTCTTTTGCCCACTACAACCTTAAATAACTACAGCCCCCTCCCCCTCTCAGGAGACTAATTTGAGCCTGGCAGCTGGGAGCTGCTCCTCTGGTTTGTGTTACAATGCCAAGCCAGCACTGATGTGTTCAGCCAAACAGGTCTCCTGCTGTCAGAGCAGCTCGATAAAGCTATCACCGTCATGTTTGGCATGTCAGTACATTTACAGATACTCCATAATGGCCTCTTACCGTGTAATTTTTTACTCAGAGCTGCCATAGAAAAAGGGAAGCATAAAGAAGGCGTTTATGTACAAAAGCAGAATGGGACAGAGCCATGCTAGCGTGGCATTTCCTAAATAACGAGCTAAAAAAAAGAAGGGGTTTCAAGCTAATACACTTAATCACAATCAACCAGTACTGTCGTCTTCCTCCTTCTAAATGAATACAGCTCTTCTCTGGAGAAACAACCCGTCGTGTGAAGATGACCTAACATGGACATTTTCTTTCACTGTGCGTAAAACTCATAACAAGTTACTGTGTTTGCACTGAGAATAAACTGCCCAGCATTCATACTGTCCTACGACACATTAACTAGCTACAAATCTGACATTTAGCTGGCATTCTGTGTGTTTGTTCAGCAAAATCCGTGAACAGATTAATTTATAGCTATGCTAACCAGAAATGTCAATCCAGCTAACGTTAAGCTAAGCTAGCTAACTAGCTGTTAGCTGACATTTGTTTTCAACTTATAACTACGACATTTATTTCTGGGAACTCGCGGTTACTTTCACAAACAGATGCTTTCGTTGCAGTTGTAAATAAGCTTGGCTCAATACAAAGTTGTTGACATAAACTATGACCCACCTGCTGGAACAAAGTATGTTGGAGAGAAATCAAACGGATAGCTAGCAGTAAAGGCTAGCCACAGAAAAATGACAACAATCCTCCACAGCAGCGGTGAATCGACCGGAATCAGACTCTACCAACAGATCACAACATCATCGCGCCAACAAGGCCAAATCAATCTATCCCTGATTTACTACCGTTTTAGAAAATAATAGAACAATAATAGTGTGCAATCCTTCTGGAAGATTATTTCTCATTATGTTGTCCTTTTGCTAGTTTTTTTAATTTTCTATTCATTATTTATTTTGTCCATTTTTTAAATTTCTTTGCTAAAAAATAACAACAACATTGTCATTATTATATTTAACTTAACTTGTTTTATTACAATGTCTATATTAAAGTATTTCCTGATTTTCATACAGCTCTATGAAACCATGAAACCCTTACCCTGACATTGTTTATGAAACGTGAAGCTTACTAAATACTTCAACACCTCAGAGTCTCAGAAGCAAATATTGCACATGCTTAAATAATTAAAAACTGGCTTCACCTTTACCAGCTGCAACACTAAAGTGATGTACATGCATTAATCATCATTATCCAATAATATAGGCTAATATGCTACTGAAATTAATCATTCTGAAAGAAAAAAACGTACTTTGATGTAAATACATTCTTCCAAATGTTAGACATAGTATGACTAACTGTGGTATTGTTACTTCTACCTTAAATATCCGAGTATTGTTTACCTCTGTTCATTTCCTAACTTATTCTTCGCATTTTGAAAAAATGACATTTGTTTCCTTTATTTTTACAACCTCTTAGCTTTATCTGGAAATGGTGAAGATTACAAATTGAGAAATAAGAAGCCCATACTTTATTTTTGGCTTTAAAATGACACAATCATTTTGTCACTTCATATATCTTATAAAACATACAAATATACTTCCCAGTCTTTGCACCTTGATTGCAGTTGTTATCACAACCAAATGCTCATGATAGACATATGACTTGTTATTTGTATTACACTTAGGATGAAAAGATCCCTCATCATTGTCTGTTCTTATCTTACTGCCAGTGGCAATACCTCATTTTTTCCTAATTTTCATGTCTTTGAAGTGAATGTGCGAGGGAAACATAAGTAATACTATACTTCCTGTATCTATGTGGTGACCCTGAGTACCAGTGTCTCTGTAGGGCAGAAATGCTGTGTCATTGTCTCATAGTGCATGTCAGTGCAGACACATCATTACACTGACCACAAGGAAGCAGATGACTTCAAGACACACTGGTAAGGAGGAATAACGCAAAGTGGAGCCATGCTGTGACTGCTGTTCTCCGGTGAGTATTCAAACATCATAATACAGTTTTATGGCAACATGCTTCCTAAAAAAATGTATTTGTGATGAGATACATATACAGCATTATTGTTTTGGTGAGGAACACATTTGAATAAAGTCTTAATTCCTCTTGTTTAATCTTACTCTATTTTATAGGTCGATTTTAATCATACCTGCACTTTACTTTCACCATTATGTCTCTTGCAATTTTTTATTTATTTTGTATGTCTTCACTTTAGTTAAAATTGTTGGAGGAGCCTGGGATTTAATGTTTGCATTTCCAACTACACTAACTGTTGTGCATTTGACAAAGAAGACTATACATCTTTGAATCAATGAATAACCTGAACAAACATAGTATGCTATAGTAAAATGGAGCATGTTTAACCTGATAGGGGTGGAGTCAGGTTACCTGCCACAACATCATCTCACCAGCAGTGTGGCGGATACTACAAACAGATAAAATAATAATTAATGTCTGCTACACATTGTCTTCCTTCAGTTCTGCGCCATGCCTCTGAGATGGTAGCTTCTTGCTGTGGTTCTCCAAAGAAGGACAGGACTACAGCAGGATATCTATACCAGGATAAAGGTGCTTTTAGTTTGGGTGAGATGGTACCATTTTTGAAATAAGTATTCATGTAGATGGTCTAAACTGTCTGGTGTTCTTCAAGGTGATGAGCAGAACGTGTGGACAGTCTCCAGTGATGGAAAAACATCCAGTCAAAATCCTTCCTAATTCCTCTGGGCAGAGGAGAAGCCCACCTTTCTCCTCCATTTTATTTATTTCTTAAATGTATTTATTTGCAGCATGTTGATCTGTGTTGCTCTGTTCTTGTTTTAATGATGACTTGTCCTGAAAACTTCTTGTTGGGAAGTTGAGTAATGTCTGACAGCAGACAAGTTCAGCAGTGGCTCAAAGGTTAACATTTACTGTATTTACACAACATTTATATGGGAGAAATGCAATGTGGTCAGCACAGAAAAGACATCCAGTCACATAAATAAATGGTTGTAAAGATCATGTATCAATAAACAGTATGTGTTATTAAAGTGTCCGTACATTGATTCTGCAGGAAAAGCACACTTTTCGCTCAAGACTCTTTTTTCCTGGGTATCTGGCGCCATCGTGTGGAAGAAAAAAGGATCTGCAACTACCTGTTGCCTGAAGAGAGACAGCCAACTGGTTCATTTAATAATAAGATGTTATATTTTAATAATATTCCAAACAAGTTTTCACTCACTAGCTCATCATAAGGAACTTACTAAATCACTAAATTGCAGTACACAATATGGTCCACCATTCACAACTGCGCATAAAATGTATGATAAAAAAACACATTTAAGAAAAAACGATGATAGACATATATTTCAGAAAATGCTTGCCGTTATTATCAATTAAATGTTTTAAGCTGGAAATAAAATTGTCTTTGGGCCATTTTACAGTTTAATAAATAAATAAAAAACACATGCACCCAGACTCAGCATAACATAACAACACCTGCCAAAATAAGGTTGACATTTAATTTCGATAAATCACTTCTGTACAGGACAAGTTGCCACTATATGGGTTAATACATTCAGAATTAAAATCATTCAGAATTATTGTTTCATGTCAAAAAGTGCACTTATAAAAGAAGTGTTGGTACCACTTTATAAGACTAGCCTTATAAAGGATTCATAAAGGGTTTATAAATAGGTTATTAATTAGGTTTTAAACACTTTATTAATCATTAAGAACCATTTATAAACCAATTCTAACATAGTTTTCAGACATCAACACAGGCTCACTATTTGGCAAGATGACTAAGCCTTATATTGGCTACCTAGCTTACTTCGTCTTCTTCATCAGCCAACATCCTTGGTATCTGTTGTTCACTGAGTTGATTCCCCCCCTTCCATCTTGATGTTTCTTGGCATCTCTTTATGACCATTTATTTACGAGTTACTAACATTTATAGTTGCCAAAAGGGAGCCTTATTGTAAAGTGTAAAACACATTCCCATTTATTTATGAGTTACTACCATTTCTAATAAGGCTTAGCAGTACAGATAAATGTGGGCTCACTATTTGGCAAGCAACCGGTCACAGCTGCCCTGTTTATCTCATGTCTTATAAAAGCTTATTAATGATGTATAAAGTGTTCACAACCTAATTAATAAATTAATTACAAACTATTCGTAAACCCTTTATAAGGTATAGTCTTATTGTAAAGTGGTACCGAAGTGTTTAAGTGATGGACTCTTTCCTCTTAAATGTGGTATTTTATCTTTGAAAGTGCATTTAATTAAACTACACTATGCTATATTATGGACAGTTATATTTTGTTCATCTCATACTATATTATAAGATAAATCACTGTCAACCACATGAAAGAGAAGTAAACTAAATGTTGTAATATCATATCATATTTATTTAGAATAGAAGAGAGCACAAATGTATTTACATTCACATGTACAGTAGCATACAATACAATTTTACAATTACACAACAGTATAGTATACAGTCTGTGCAAGTTTAAGTGACAATCTCAGTTTACAGTGTGTGGATGCGGCTGAAACAATGTACACTGGATTCTACTCACTGTACAAACCTCTGACTGTGTTTCACCTGAGCTGGTGAGGATGTGACGCAGAATAAACACAGTGTAAATATGACAGTGATATATGACACTTGGTTTAAAGATTACACAGTAAACAACATGTTTTGAAAAATCTTCAGAGTTGCACTTCAGCATCATCACTATAAGCAATACAAAAAGGCAACATATTGAAATGTCTTTGTGAGATGCTTTATCACATCAGTTCAGTTCCTTATGAAGGCCTGTCTCATCATCCGGGTCCATTTTTACTTCTTCCCTCGTCTAAAGTGCAGCGTTGCCTGTCTGTCCCCTCCATGTTCCTGTCATCATAGCACCATGGTGGGGATGTGGTGCACCATGGGGGGCATCTGGTGCTGGTGGGACATGACCGACATCTGCTGGGGAGGGGGGGGACACTTTGGATGCCATCTCTGCCGCGTGTGCCATCGGCTTGTGCCGCGCGCTCTTCTGGTGAGCCCTGAGGCCTGCCAGCTGGGAGTACGCGCTCTGACACACGTGGCACTTGTAGGGCCGCTCGCCGGTGTGCAGGCGCACGTGGTTCCGGAGCGTGGAGGACTGGCTAAAGCGGCGGTTGCAGAAGCGGCAGACGAAGGGCTTGTCTAGCGTGTGAATGCGCATGTGAGAGCGCAGGTTGCTGCGGGAGTTGAAGCCACGGTGGCAGATGACGCAGCGCATGCGACCTGCTGTGGTGGTAGGGGCTGGAGGGGAGCACGAGGCAGGGCCGTCATAGGGGTGGACCTCATCTGAGAGAGGAGACAAAAAGGGGGGAGGATTAGTTTAAAGTTTGGCTCAGATTTGGGCTGCTTAGTTACAGTGTTTTATTTTCTATTTTATTCTGTATATTTTATAGTGTGTAGATACTCTCTTGAATATATTCATTTTCTTCTGAAAAACATTAAAATGTGTATTTCTTATTTTTTTTATTATAAGTGACTGTCAAAATGCTGTTGTGAAAAAACTATTTCCCAACTTTGGATAAATCTATCTATCTATCTATCTATCTATCTATCTATCTATCTATCTATCTATCTATCTATCTATCTATCTATCTATCTATCTATCTATCTATCTATCTATCTATCTATCGATCTATCTATCTATCCGTGTGTTTTTAATCTAAGAAATATTAAAAGTAATGTATCAGAACCTAACAACAATGATATAAACTGGCTTATATCTGTAGCCTATGTTGATGAACAGATACAAAAAGCTGTAACCCTTAACATTGTTACATAAAATGACTCACCTTTGGTTTTCTTCAGGTGTTCTTCATCTATTCCCGGAACTCCAGGGATTCCCAGGAATGTGTTGAGGGTGTTTCCGTACCAGACAAGAAGCTCCTGGTCCGGTGGGATAGTCTGAGAAAAACAGGGAAAAAGGTCAGCAAATAAATATGTGATTTAAAGTCGCTTCTCTGGTGCAACCATACGACCAAAGATGCCAAACTACAGAAATCACATAATCAATTTTCATTTGGGCCAACAGGCGGCGCTGCTCTAAAAGTCATTTACATACTTGGTGGTTGTCAATAAAACCCTATTCAGTCGCCACAGGGCCGAGTCCTTGTTTACAGATCAACAGAATTACTTAAAGTCTATTCTCACCTCCACTGCCTTGTAGAAGATGCTGCTGCCGATCTGCACCACCTCCAGGTTTTGCTCCTGTTCATTCCTTGCGCACTTGATGTAAGTCATCCAGCTGCGTTGGTCCTCCTGACTGGCATCGATGAAGTAGCGCACCGTGCCGTCTTCATTGAACACCTAAGCGCAAATCAGCGAGGAAAACAGCGTCAATATAAGGCGGAAGTTATAATACACAGACTCTGGATCACGGACGGTCTAACACTGTGCTTGGACCCCCCTGTGGCCCCCCTCCAAAATAATAAATCATGATAATGCAGTGTGTGTTGCAGCCAATACTGTGCTGTAACTTCGGCCTAAGATAACATACATACATGTTTTTTTTCTTCCAGTATGTAATTAAATACATTGAAACTAAGTTACTGAAACCATTTTTTTTAAAGAAAATAAATATCAACAAATATTAATGAATAAAATAAAAACTAAGTTTGGCTTCATAAATATTGTATTTATTAACCAAAACGGCATTTAGGTTAAGTAAGTAACTATACTAAAATTGTAACAAAGTCATTGACTCACATTCTGTTATTAAAACAAAAATAATGGTATTTTAATTTATTTTTTGTGCACTATTTTATACTGAACTGAAAAATATTGAATCTTGAACACCGTTGGGAACAATGGTCTAGAACAGCCATTGCCTTAGATATCTCTGGTCATAATATTCATCCATAAAACAAAAGGGATCATTAAAAAACATTATTCTCTGCTCACCTCCCACATGAGGTTGTTATTCTTCAGCAGGTCCACGTGCTCCGGGGATATGACCCTCCCTGTGAACGGGCCCATCTCGGCCCCTGCTTTGATCCAAGTCTTTGAGAAGATGCCCAGACCCTCTCCAGGGATGGAGCTCTGCGCGATGATCACCTCACTGGGCAGCACCAGGCTGGACAGCTTCTGCACCTCTGCACAAAGAAGAAAGAAGAAAGGTTAGCATGCAAAAGGGAAACATGTCAGAAAACATTATATCTGTTTTAATGCCCGAGTAATACTGCGCAAAAATGCAGCTCCAGGAGACTAAACTGTTCAGCAGGATCTCATGAAACAGGATTGCTGAAAAAGTCCTGAAAGCAGCAAATGGACTGGATCTTATTTTAGTCACGAAATATTAAGCTACACCTTATCCTCCGTTTAATTCGATTATCTGGTTGAATTGAAACTTTTTGTTGTGTAGAAAAACTCCATAGGAAAGCATTTTCATCCGCACCAGAAAGGGAGAAAAGAAAAAACCGTGCGGTTCTTTAATGTCAAAATCAAAGATTTTTTTTCTGTGAGCCGAGCCGAGCAGGGGTTAAATGGTCCTCTATTGCCCAGGGTCCAACAATTTGTCATGCTTCAGATGTGATATTCATTAAAGTTTACTGGAAAAGAAACGGCTAATTCCAAATTCATTATCCTTTTAAGAACTTTGTAGCAATAAATTTGCGCTGAAAGAAACTAGGACTTGTTTAAAAGACTCAGGAATTTCGGCAACAAAAAAATGGAAAGGCGATTAGATGGTTGACATGCAATGAATAGCATTAGATTTAGCCTTCACGGTGCATTATGCGAGGAACAGCAAATCTTTTAAGGAAGGAGAGAAAGAGAAAAGCTCCGGAGCCCCATAGCTGCCAAGAGAGGAAAAGAGACTGTCCGGAGATGAATGCGGGATAAAACCCGGGACATCTCAAAGAAAAGAAACCTTTCTCTCCTCGAGGTTTAAGTGGAAACTTTCCCAGGTCAAGCACAAAGTTAACCAAATGAATTTAATGCCCTGCGTCTTTCAATCAGCGGCAGTTACACGCCTAACAAGCCTCTAAACGCGAGGACCAGAGCTCTATAGGGTTAACGCGTTTAATGGGTCGAAATAAAAGCAGTAAAATGAGAGAAAATGCAGAAAAACAGCAACAAGTTAGTGGGAAAAACTTTGGTAAATAAATGTTTGGGACGGAAAGGGAAGTTTATTTGAGTGTCTCTGCAGGATGTGGGATTTTCTTGAAGTTAAATTATTATTATCAAATGGGAAAAAAACAAATGTGGCTGTAATTGTAATTACAAAAAAAGTCCTTATGGAGTTCTGTGATTAACTTTTTCGGAAATTGCATACGGGACACAAAATTAAATCATGTTATTTATTTCCATAAAAAACACATACAATAAAATTAAAAAATATACTGAAATTAGGCAGCAAACATGCAATTAAAAGGCCCAAACATGCACAACAGTATGATAAAACAGAATTTACATGTATGAAAATAGCCCCATAATAAAGCAGAATGTCAGCCTACCTCCGACGAAGGACTGCGCCAGCACCTCGGCGGTGAACGCGGTCTTGGGGCTGCTGCTGTGCCGCTCCTCCGCCAGGTGTTCTCCCAGCACGTTCCTCCACCTGCCGTACAGGAAGCTGTGCAGGATGTCCGAGGTGATCACGTCTGACAGCGAGCGGCTGGGACACTTAAATCCAGACTTGAGTGCCAAAGCGTCTGCGGGTAATACGGAGCCCATGTTGCAAATCAAAAAAGAAAGCCCCCTAAAATAAAAACAGCTGCAAGTGGAGAAAAATAAGCAAAAGGAGTATAGGAGAAGAGTTGGACACCTAGAGCTGCTCCTCAGTGCGTCCTTGTGCTGCAGACTGTCTGTGCGTAAAGCTGCCCTGCAGGCTGTGAGGGTCCCTTTATATAAGTGGCTGGTGTGACCCCTGTCTAATTACTTATTAATGACACACCCCTCACCAGGAGGACCTGCCCGCTGCAGCGCACCAGCAGAGACACTGAAACACACAGCAGACAACCAATAAGAGGGGCCACACGTTATTTTAGTCATTATCTGCACTTAATGCATAATCATTTAAATTACAGCGAGGTTTTTTAGATAGCTGCAAATGCATCATAATTGCGTAAAATGATAATAAATGCGTTTTAAATTATTTTAAGATCAGAAAAATGTAAAGTGTAGTGCTAAAAAAAGCCTTGTGTTGCAAAAATAGATCATAGAGTGCAAAAAAAAACCAACAGGTTGCTCTCTATGGGAATATGAATTTAAACACTTGTACAACATTTTAAAATAACAGTGTTTCAGAAGATTATAAAAGCAGGTTTTCTGAAAGTTTAATTGATGGTTTTAAGTTGTTCTGCCCGCAGAGAGAAGTGGGTCATTGAGTCTGGGAGTTGCTCGCCCATTTTTTTCTCATGCATTTGGTATTCATGTGGTGGTAATATTATTATTTTTTTGTGAGGAGTTAGCGCGGGAATAACAAGAATAGAAACAAGCTCGACGTGGAGTTTTTTCTTACAGCATTGTTCGCATGCAAAAAATGCAAAGCTGCTTTGACCGTGGTTCACTTTTTCAAGCCCTTGTTGAGGTAAGCCGGTTTAATATTCATGGATGTTCGGAGCCCCCTCGGTATTGTGACAACGTTTAGATGAGTATATACGGCCCTTTTCTTCTCTATAGTCACAGTCTTCTGTGTTTTTTCCTCTCTTGCCTATATTTTCGGGCTTGATGGACTGGGGGCTAAATGGGCAGTTTTGCTTCTTTCAGCAGAGAGGACATCTTTATTCCATCCCCGGCTCACAGGTTTCCTATTCAGCTCCCCTCCAAGTAATGTCAGGCCCCTGAAAAGTGCTGCAAATCAATCTTTCATGGTGTTTTGAGGGCAATTTGACATCCATGCACTCCTCTTTTCACTCCAACAACTACAAGGGGATTGTCCGAGAAATGGGCAAGTTGTGCTCTCTCTTTCTTTCTCCCTCTCTGGGACGAATATGGATTATAATGTAATGGGAAAGAAGATATGGCAACTAAATACAATAGCGGAGGGTTTTTTTTGAGCTGGGGAGATAGTGAAAAGGCAAGGTGAGTGACAGGGCACGAAAAAAGATTACTGTGAAACAGCTGCTTTTTATGAGCGGGCCCCTCCTACATTTGTCTCCTTTTCCCAGATGAAATTTCTCTGCTCTTTCAATGGGATTCTTTCTCATCTAGATTGATTTACATTTATAGCATTCATCGCACAAATCCGAGGTAAATGGCGGGGGACAGGGGGTGGGGCCGCTTCTTTATTAAAGAGGAATTAAATGAATTGAATTGGGGTAACGCATGGATTTGATTTGCTTATTTATGCATTAACCTATGGCATTATGTGGAGCTGGTAAAGCCGCGGGCATGTCAGCAATAGCAAATCATCCTGCTTAGCTGTTCCATTGTAAAACTATTTAAGCTATTATTCTGTCCATTTAAAGCTTATCAATTTAATGTGGATGATTGACAATTATTGCACAAAGAATGCGGTAATTCTTTTATTTCAAAGAGCTGGTGGGAAACCTATCAAAGAAAATCATTTGTTTGTAGATAAAAAGGAGAATTTAACGCTTATCAGGGGAGAATAATAAAGGGAGAAAAAAGACTCGGTCATGTTTAAATAATACATGTGAACGTTTAAGCTTTAATGACCAAATAACTGACAATAAAAGACGGCTTTGAATATAAAATTCAAAATAACTAAATAAAAATCTGAAATTATCTTGAGATTTTGCGTTAAAAAAAATAAAGTTTGTGGCGCTTTAGAAATAATAAAGTAACAACATTTTCTTTTTTTAAAGTATTTAAAAAAACATAAAAACATAAAACACGTGGCAAAAAAATAGTCTTTGTCACATTATGAATCAGTGACTCAACCTTGCTGCGGGGAAACACACACACACACACACACACACACACACACACACACACACACACACACACACACACACTCATTAAAAGCAGATTAAGGTGTCCTCCACTGTGCAGGATCAGCTCATCTGTTGCATAGGTGAGTGAGGTGCTGGAAGTCCCTCCCCCGGCCCCCCCCCCCCCCCCCCCCCTAAAAGAGCCTTTCCTCCCCCCCTCTGTTGTTGGAGAGAAGGGGTAGTCAGAAAAGACACCTGCCTGATTTGACCTTAATTTACACAGCAAGAAAAACGTTTTTAAATTGTTAAGCCTTAAATATTGAATACAAAAACGGATTCATCCTCTGCATTATAAACATTATCACTCAGTGCACGAACATCTCACTCCACATGCATTTCATTCTGTGAGTACTGTGTTTATGGACAAATCTGAGGAACATGTCATTTATTTAAAATGTAATTTAATATTAACCGTATTATGTCTCTCCTCAATTATCCAACTACTTACTTTGCCAATTCAAAATGTAAATAATAAATATAATCAGCTAATAAATTATGATTTCATGTTATAAATTGCAATTAGCTGACCTTTATGAGCTGCAACATTAGTGATATTTACACATGAATATTAATATAACAGATAAAACAATCATATAACAAATTATTCTGAAATTAACTTTTTTAATACTTTTATTAGATTTTGATGCTTAAACTTTTGTACTTATTTTAAATGCAGGACCTTTGGTACTACCTCTATTAAAATATCTGCTTTTAAGATCTGAATACTTCTCCAGTGCTCTACAGACAATACAAACAGATCAATAAGACTCAAAGAGAAAACCATTCATGACTATAAAGAGGATTTATTTTAAAAGAGTGATTTAACCTACAGACCTCAGTGTTGGAAACTTCAAGTAAAAGTAAAAAATTCTTGCATTTCAAATCCAACTTTAGTAAAATAACAGGATTAGTGTTAGATGAATGCAGCTATTTAAAGTTTCATAAATAATTACAGTCTATTATGTATTAACATGTAGATACAGTGCAACCTTTCCCTCAGATTTACAGTAAAGTATACGCCTACAGAAACTGCAATGTATCCATTTTAATGTGGAAATAAATGTGCTGTAAGTTTTTTTAAAGTGTATAATATTTTACTTTGATATCTTTGCTCTTATTTTAAAACAGATGTCTTCAATTACACTGTTTTGTAGCTTATATGAAAGTCAAAAAAGCATATGTTGAAAAATGGTTTTAAAATCTGAACCAAAATATGTTTTCTTGTTCCTGTCCATAATGAAGGGGACAAACACTAAACACACCTCCTACAGCAAATGACTGTTTATTTGGAGGGTTCAATTTCTGCAGCATGATAAAGGAGAAATAAAGTGTCCAAGAGTGGTCTATATACATATTAATGTTACCTCTCGCCACATCAGTCTGATCATGGAACGACTAAATCATCAGACGGCCACAGAGGACCCCAGGGTCAGGAGTGTCCTGCGGGACAGTGCGCTAAAAAAGGAAGAGGATCAAAATCAAGGGCTGGATTTGGAAACAGCTGCAGCGCATCAATGCAGCGGACGGTATGGGGCCGCCAGGGTCCACTGTGGCAGGAGCCCCCCCGCTGAGAGCAAAGATGTGCAGTGACAAAGCTGAAAGAGAGAGGGGGGGGGGGGGCTGAGGGATGAGGTGCTGCTGCTGGACAGTTAACATGTGCAAGGATGGCAACATGGAAATGTTACAGGGTTTGTTTAGGGAGAAATTAGATGTTGAAGAGAAGGAAATTGAGCAAGGCAGAGATTTAAATGAGACATGATACAGAGGAACAAACCAAAGTCTGGTGGCCACAACTTGCAACACCATCCTGTTTGAAAAGAATGAGAGAGTCATCTTTAAACACTCATTGGGTCAATAACCCCACGTGAAACCTCATCTGATGTGTTTGACTTAACAGGCCCATATGATGCAAATGCAATGCTAATGGGAAATAAAGACTGTGCACATAAACAAAATCCCAATAAAGTCAGGTGTAAGGAAGAACATCTGATTTGTTTCTGAAATGTCTTAAGAAAAAATGATTCTACTTTACATAAAAATGCTCATATTTTAACACTTTTTTGATTTTACCCTCAAATCAGAAACAATTGTGTACTTAATATTTTTGAAATAATTTGCTGTTCTGTTTTGGCAGCTATGTGTTAATAAAATGCACCTACTTAAACGTTAAAACTATAAAGTGATTGTAAAGTGTAGCAGTGGAAAAGTGCTGCAGCTATTAAGAACTTGTACCAATAGTTTTAGTCAGCCACAAGGGAGGCTTGCGGAACATTTATTTGAATGCGAGAACTTGCAAATAACTATAGAAAATATATATTTTCTGCTTATAAAACATGAGAACAAACAGTTGGCCTATATATCTATTTCTATGCATCATCTAAACTTTTCAACACCAAGAATCAGAATACAACAAAAGTCACATTATCTTTTCACACAATCATCTCTAGCAGTACACAAATGTAGTCTGGATTTGTTTTAATACATTGTTAACTGTACATATAAGGAAAAGAAACAAACACCATAATTAGACATTTTGAAATTATATCCCTTTTCATTAAGAAATGACGTTAATACCAGAATCATTTTTCCATAATGATGCATCATTTATATTAGATCACACAAAGAAATAAAAAAATAATTAAAAAGTTATTAGCATTGGACTGAGTCCAGCGCCCCCCGGGGTCCAGAGCAGGGCTCAGGGGGGCGCTGGCGAACTGGGAGGTACCAAATAAGACAGCTTTTGATCATAATACTTAAAACATAAAAATACTATATTAAT